GCTCAGCAGTTTAGCGCCACCTTCAGCCCAGGGCGTGATCCTGGAGACCCAGACTCCCCGCTGAGTGGAGAGCCCGATGTGAGGCTCCATGCCAGGACCCTGAGATCATGACCTTAGTGGAAGGCAGATGTATAACCAACTGAGCCACCCAGGTGCTCCTACCATAGCTTCTTTTAACTCAGAGGCATAGATAATAACCTGATTCAGCTTCCATGCTAAGCACTCAGCCTCACTTTTTTTTTTAAGATTTTATTTATTTATTCATGATTGAAACAGATGGAGAGGCAGAGACACAGGCAGAGAGGGAGAAGCAGGCTCCCCATGGTGAGACTGATGCGGGGACTCAACCCCAGGATCACGACCTGAGGTGAAGGCAGATCCTCAACCACTGAGCCACCCGGGCGTCCCATCATCACTGTTTCTTGGGCCTTTCCAATGAGTCATTTCAGGCTTCTATCTGAAAACCATTAACAGCAGAGAAGGCCAATTCTCTAAGTCCTATGGTTTCTCCCATTATTAACCTTTTAAAAAAATATTTTATTTATGAGAGATAGCACAGAGGGAGAAGCAGACTCCCCGCTGAGTGGAGAGCCTGAAGTGCTCTATCCCAGGACCCTGGGATCATGACCTGAGCCAAAGGCAGACACTTAACTGAGCCACCCAGGTGCCCCATTATTAGCCGTAAGTTTTTCGTTTATTGATAAATACATGCTTATTATAGTAAACAAAGAATAAGAAGTTAGTCACATCCTCATCACTCAGAAATAACCACTCAATATATTAACGCATTTCCCTTCAGCATTCATTTGCAGATTAAAAAATTAGTTCTTTCTGAATAAAGATCCTTCATAATAAATTTGACAGTTTATATAACCAAACAACACACCCCATTATCTGTAAAAGCCAAATGACCCAGGCATGCAGGAAGCTTTGAAAGTGAAGAGCACAATCTGCTCCCGGGTCAGCTGCAGCCCTGAAGGGACCTGGGAGGTTTTCAATAGAGAAGAAAGGCAGTGGCAGCTGAGGCAGCAGGAGTCAGTATTTTCCTGGCCCTATACCCTAATAGGTTAGGCTTTGAAACTTCTTGTTTCCTAAATTTCTCTGGTCACAAGATCTCTGTTGCCATGTTTTAACATAAGCTCTTTCTTCAATTTAAGTCACTTTCTCATTCAGACTCTGGCATCTGAAAGAATGAATGTCTGCTGATGTGGTGACCTTATGCCCTGTATGATTTCTACAGCTATACATTGAAAAAAGGGACCTCAGTGGTTTCTTAAAACAAAGGCATTGCTGCCTGAACTTACCTCCTGGGCCTTTTTCAAGATTCACCATCTTCCCTAATAATCCTTGCCCTGCAATTCCAGGACGAAGGAAGAACCCAAAATGAACCTTACAACCTTAATGTTAACCTTCTGAAAGCCCTGTGCACAGTGGGGGACGATGTTGCCTGGCACACTGGTGTGTAAGCAATAGGAGTTGTGAAACATCCATTAAGTTAACCTCTCAAATCCATATGCTCAAAAAATCAATGAATTAAGAATAATTCCTTTTAAAGTTAAAATCCCATTATAAGTGTCACATCAAATATAAGTATTCTGGGCTAGCACAGAATACAAAATCACTATTCTAGTTTATTTTCTCACTTTGTGATTTTTATTTTTTTCTATAGTCTTTTTCCTCCTGGTTCATGCTTTTTCATCCATTTTACTTATCTGCTTATTCATAATCATCACCCCATTACCTTGAAGAAATAGAATTGAGTGAGAAGATGGCAAATTCAGATTTTTATTAAGACTATTTTTTAGAGCGGTTTTAGGTTCACAACAAAATTGAGGGGATGAGACAGATATTGAGGAGCATATACCCCTGCCCCAGTCACGCACAGGCTCTTTTGTTCTCAACATTCCCTAGCAGAGTGGTACATTTGTTGTAACCGATGAACCTACATTGAGACACATTATTATCACTCAAAGTCCACATTTTACAAGTTCAATTTTTGATAAGCTGAATGAGAAGTGTCTGTGTAATTGCCAAGTAGAGAAGTCTAGCAGGCTGTAGGATGTAAAAGAATAGTTCACTAGAGAGTTCTGGGATAGAAATACTGATCTGGGGGTCCCCTGCACAGGGTGGTTCAAACCATGGGCATGGAGATAAGTTTGCCAAGGAGAAGCACAGTGACAACACAATTCAAGGTTCTCTCTCACTTCTCTTTAGCTAATCTATTAGTTATTGCTAGGTTTACCCCAAAACTTAGTGACTTAAAAGAACAAATATTATCTCTTCTGTGGGCCATGAATCTGGGCCAGTTAGCTGGGTTCCTCTGCCTCAAAGCATCTCCCAAAGCTGTAGTTGAGGTGGCAGCCAGGGCTGCAGGCATTTCATGGCATATAATACTACAAGTTTCATTAAAAAAGAAAAAGAAAAACCCAGCAGATCCTACTTGTGGTCGCACTCTATAACTTCCAAAGCTAGGCTGGAAGAGCAGCTTCTATCAGTCTCTCCCTTGGGATGCTCACCTTCAAAACCCAGCTGCCATACTGTATGGGCGCTCAGGCCACATGGAGAAGCCATGGAAAGGAATTCCAGCTGACAGGTCCCTCTGAGGACCCAGCTGTCAGCCACAATGTGGTAGATGTCAGCAAGGAAAGGCTGGGAATCTCCAGGGTATATCCAGTCCGGTACATACTGTTCATCAGTTCCTCCTCTTTCAATTCTATCACTCATCTTCAAAAGTTTTAAGAGGACATGTCAAGAGTATGATCCTAGTAAGAACGGATGTATAGGAGGCTTAATTCTTACTATTACCAAAAGGCAGGAACATCTTTATACCTCTCTCTTAACTAGTTGTAAAAGGTGGTGGTTTGTAGTGAAAACACTGAGCTTGACATAAAAAGGCAGGAATTTAATTTCTAGCTGAGTACTAGTTACGTAGTCTGCAGCGAATCACTTACTTTCCCTGATCTTCAGTTTTCCTCTCTGTACAATGGGCATATTAACAGCCACCTGCTTACCTTACAGAACCATTATAAAGATCAAAGGAGATAATGGGTCAGAAAAGTATTCTTTTGAAAAGTAAAACTCTAGGCATCCGTGAGCCCTATTAGGCCTATTACTTCTATTACTTGTAGGGATTTATATCGGAAGCAAAAGAACAAATCCTGTGCTTCTTTAAATTCGTGGTGATATGCCTGTTTGCTTTGACATACATTTGCTTAAATGTCTCCTCTGAGCTTGTCACTGTAACAGATGAGCAACTTGTCATAGCTAAGACCCCTTTTCTTCAGTCATAAACTTGAATTAAATGTTCTGCCATTAGACAATCACTTTTTAAAAAGACACTATGAAAACTATGTCAAGTTCATATGAAATTATTATAAAGGTTTAGCCAATTTTCTCTCTCCATAATTTGGGGGATTCCATTGCTGAACAAAGTATTGGCTGTTTTACTAAATAGCCAACCGTATGTAGCTGTCCCATGGAACGCTGAAACTTTATTTCCTGTATTAGATTGTTAGCCCAACGCCCAAAGCTTCCTCTGGAATTCTCCATCTTGGAGAAATGAGCCGGCATCCACTTGATCACTGAGCCTGGGAGTCATCCTTGATTTCTCTCCTTCATCCACCCTCATCTGCATTTTCAACCACCTTCTTTCCTTCAGTCTCTCTCCAGATCCTGAGGATTTTATCTAGACTCTCCCACTTCCATTCTCACTGCCACTCTCTCACCTATACCGTGGCAACAACTTCCTAATAACTCTCCCTGCTCCAGTGTCGCTACCAACAAGCAAATCCCAGCATAAAAAAAAAAAAAAAAAAAAAAAAATTCAAAAAAAAAATCGAACACTCCTCTATTCAGCAGCTAGGAAAACAGCTACTCCGCAGGCCTCAACGGTGCTACAGCCTATAGGTATGATCATCCTGACTTCACAGGCAAGGAAACCTGGCCTAGAGCCGGACGGGCCAGAATTCCGCTCTCCTGGCCGAACTCTCGCACTTCAGTGTGTGACGCCTCCGGCTTCGCATCTGTAAACCTGGATCGATAATGACTTTCCTCATATAACTGGCGTAAAGAGGAAATGAAGAAGTAATACTGGGGGCACCTCGGTGGCTCAGCGGTTGAGCGTCTGCCTTCCGCGCAGGTCATGATCCCGGGGTCCCGGGATCGAGTCCCGCATGGGGCTCCCCGCCGGGAGCCTGCTTCTCCCTCTGCCTGTGTCTCTGCCTCTCTCTCTGCGACCCTCATGAATAAATAAATCTTTAAAAGAGAAAACGAAGGAACACTGGTAAAGGGCCTGGGACAGCATCTGGCTCACAACGCCCAGTTACCTTCACCGATTATTTCCTGACTAAAGATTTCGTTGCTCTTACGCTCTTCGGTGTCCAGCAAAGCAAGCAAGGGCTCCACATCGGATGGGCTGCCTCCTTTCCCTGCAGCGCCCCGCGTCCTCCGCGGGCACGGCCAGCTCTTCACGCGGACTTCATTCCCTCTTTGGGCGCGTCTGCCCGCCTGAGACACGGGCCCGCGCGGAGCCCGCCCTGGGGCAGCCTCGGGCCCTAGACTAGGGCGGGGGCAGCGCGGTTAGGCTGAGATGGGGCCCCCACCAGGCCGAGGCCCCGCGCGGGGTGAGAAGAGCCGCGAACCCGTTAGGAGACCTCCGACCTCCATCTAGACGAGCGCAGTCTCTGATTCCTGCCCAAGGCTCAAGCCCGTTTCCTCTTCTGTAGAAAAAGGGCTGTATTACTCCCTGCGCTTCCTCCTCTCTCACGGATCCGCCGCGACCCGACCGGCAGCAGGACGTCCGAGGCAAAGCACAGCTCTCTCCAGCCCCGAGCCCCCGACACGGCGACGGGGCGGGGCCCGGGGTCCCCTCAGGCCTGCGAGAAGCTCGGCCGCGGGCGTCTCGTCTCTATGGCGGATGCGGGCTCCGATTCCGGGGCGGGCCTCGTTGCTCTTCCGAGGTGCCGGCCGCCGCTTCCGGGGCGGGGCGAGGCGGGGCGAGGCGACGCGACGCGAGGCGAGGCGAGCGGCTGGAGTCGCCGCGCTGCAGCTCCCTCCCGGCCTGCGTCTCCGCGCTCCCTGCTGCGATGAGCTTCCTCAAAAGTTTCCCGCCGCCCGGCTCGGCCGAGGGGCTTCGGCAGCAGCAGCCCGAGACCGAGGCTGTGCTGAACGGCAAGGGCCTCGGCACCGGCACGCTCTACATCGCGGAGAGGTAGGCAGGGTCGCTGCGCTGGGCGCCGGCTTCCCGCTTCCCGCTTCCCGCGCGCCGCCGAGGCTGAGGGGCGAGGCGCGGGCGCGGGCGCGGGCGAGACCGAGACCGCGACCTCCGGGGCGGGCTCCGGGGCGCCTGGCCGAGGCCTGCGCGGCGGGGCGAAGGCTCGGCTGTCCGGGTGCCCTGCCCTCCCGAGCCTTCCTCTCTCTCTCGACGAGTTAGGAGGCTTTTTACCTGCCTGTCGTCCCGAGGTCTGGCGCGTGCGTCGCTCTTTACTCAGGGCTTGGTTTTAAGGTCTTGAGTCTCCGGCCCCTGAGTGAGAATCACCCACGTGCCTGTCTCTTCTGTGAAAAGGTGCGGGAGGTGTTGCTCTCGGCAAGATAGGTAAGTCTAGTACAACGGATTGTGCAGGATTTTAAAAGTTTGGTTAAGAAATACAGCTTTTCTTCTGTAGGTGTGGATGGGGAGAGGAACATCATCCTCAACCCCACGGAAGCTGAGGTCAGATCCAGAGGGACCAGACTCCCTGTCTCATTTCCCATTCCTGACTCCCATTTCCAGTCCTAGAAGGAATTGCCCTTTTATTTGGCCACCTGGAACACTGTACCTTTTTTTTTTTTTTTTACAGTAAGACAGATGTATCTCAAATATCGAAGTTGTAGGACTGAGGTCCCCGTTTCCTTAATAATGTGGTTCCAGTCATCATCAAGCCAACAATGACACATTGAATCCTTCCTGTCCTTGAAATTTGCCTTGATTCCTGCTGCTGCATCACTTTTGTCTGCGGCCAGAGAAGTTTCTCTTCTTTTAGGAGCTCATGTGATTTCACTGGACCCACACAGAATATCCAGGATAATCTCCCCATTCTACGGTTAGCTGATTAGTGACCTTAATTATATATACAGGTTTTCTCTTGCCATGTAACAACTCCGGCTTGACACGGGGTGTTGAAGGTCATGGGGGAGGCAAATTTTTGCCTACCAGAGAGAGCACAAAAAAAAAAAAAAGTAAAAACCCCTTGATTTAAAAAATTTTTTTTTTAAATTTTTATTAATTTATTAGAGAGAGAAAGCAAGCTCCTTGCTGAGCAGGAAGGTCCACACTGTGGAGCTCAACTCCATGCTTATCCTAGGATCTTGGGATCATGACCTGAGCTGAAAATAGATGCTTAACCAACTGAGCCACCGAGGTGCCCCAAGAACCCTTTGAGGGAAATCTAAATATTGAGCAAAGCTTAGGCTTTTAACCAATTACTGACATAGGAAATACAGATGGGAGAAAAAGCAAGTTCCAGGTGACGTGCAGATAATGAGGCTGTTCTAGACATATGCGATTAGTTGGGACATAAGAGTGTGTATCTTGGGAGAGTGATATTAAACGTAGAGATGGGGGGGGGGGACATCTGGGTGGCTTAGAGGTTAAGTGCCTACCTTCAGCCCAGGGTGTGATCCCACAGTCCTGGGATCGGGCTCCCTGCATGGAGCCTGCTTCTCTCTCTGCTTGTGTCTCTGCCTCTATGTGTCGTCTTCCATGAATAAATAAATAAAATCTTTAAAAAAAAAGAGAGAGAGAGATTGAGAAATCATTAGTATAAGGGTTAGCATATACTCATTGGGGGGATAGATTGGGTACCCCAGAAGAGAAGAAGGCCAAGGCATATCTACAGTAAGAGGTAGGTAATGGAAGTAGAGACTTGAAAATAGACAAGACGGGGCAGCTCCGGTGGGGCAGCGCCGCCTGCAGCCTAGGGCGTGATCTTGGAGACCCTGGATCGAGTCCCACGTCAGGCTTTCTGCATGGTGCCTGCTTCTCCCTCTGCCTGTGTCTCTGCCTCTCTCTGTGTGTGTCTCTATGAATAAATAAATAAAATCTTTAAAAAAAAAAAAAAGAAAATAGACAAGAGGGAGAAGCAGTCAAAATCTGAAAAAGCATCTGTTGGGTAATGACAAGGAGATCTTTAATGATCTTAGGAAAGCAATTTCTTCTAAGTGGTGGAGAGTACAGCACAGATAGTCCCTACACTATCCCTATTTCTATACGGCTTTTCTGTATATTGACTCTTTCTAAAATATAACAACTATTCAGGGAAGGAAGACAAAACCTATGCTTGTCTTTCATTTTGAAAAACTTCAGACCTAAAGAAAAATTTCAAGTGTTGTTAATATACATAGATAAAGATTCATCAGCTGTTAACATTTTACCACATTTATCTTTTTTTGAGCTATTTGAGAGTTGCGGGCATGTTATCACTTCATCCATAAATACTTTACTAAAAATCTAAGAACTAGGACATTGTCCTATATAACCACAATACAGTTATCACACTGAAGAAATACAAACTCCTTTTTAAGGTCTTATATGTTTAAAAAAATTTCATTTCAACTTTTCACTAACAGATCTCTTCTTTAAGAAAATATTTTTGTAAAATACAGAAAGAATATACATCATAGGGGATCCCTGGGTGGCGCAGCGGTTTGGCGCCTGCCTTTGGCCCAGGGCGCGATCCTGGAGACCCGGTATCGAATCCCACGTCGGACTCCCGGTGCATGGAGCCTGCTTCTCCCTCTGCCTATGTCTCTGCCTCTCTCTCTCTCTGTGTGTGACTATCATAAATAAATAAAAAAAATTTAAAAAAAGAATATACATCATATAGATGGTTTAAATAATTTTTTTAAAGATTTTAATTAATTTATTCATGAGAGACACAGAGCCAGAGACACAGGCAGAGGGAGAAGCAGGCTCCCTGCAGGAAGCCTGATGCAGGACTCCAGAATCACAACCTGAGCCAAAGGCAGACACTCAACCGCTGAGCCACCCAGGTGTCCCTGGTTTACAGAATTATAATTAAACCAGCCCCTGTATGTCTACCATCTAGGTTAAGAATAGAATATTATGAGTACCATGGACACCTATGTTCATCACTCTCTGCTCTTTGTTAACATTACCTCCTTAGTCTCTTTCCACTTCTCTATCCTACCAAGCATTTCCAGGTCTTGATAAAATCAAGGCCTTAACAAACTGGGACAGTTTCCTAGAGGATATGACAAATGAGGATTAGCAGCCAGGTGAATGAGATGGAGCTAAGAGGAAACATTCTATTTAGAAGAGATAGGATGCTCAGAGGCAAGGGTAAGAAACAATATTTAGTGTGGCCCAGGACATATAAATATGCATGTGCACACACACCATTTAGCAGTTCTTCATCTGAGAGAATGAGGGGGAAAGAATGGAAAAATGATAAAGCTGGAGGAATTTAGACAAGGAGATCTTTAATGATAGGGTCTGATTTTAAGTAGTTTCTCGGACGTGTATTGAGAGATATAGAACTCTCGGGCTTATTTTTCAAAGTTGAGTTTTCAAAGGAAGTTGACTTTCTAAACCCCCAGGTAAAGAAGGGACCAGAGGCATGAATCATTCCAAATAGATTATTTGAAATGGGTAAAATAAAGTAGGTAATTAAATCATATTTTATCTTAAGCCAAAGTTAATTTTAAGATTTTTTATTTATTTATTCATGAGAGAGACAGAGAGAGAGACAGAGAGAGATAGGCAGACAGAGAAGCAGGCTCCATGCAGGGAGTCTGACATGGGACTCAATCCCGGGTCTCCAGGATCAGGCCCTGGGCTGAAGGTGGCACTAAACCGCTGTGCCACCCAGGCTGCCCCAAAGTTAATTTTAAACCAAATAATTAAGCTCACCCAAATTTAAAACTTTTCCTTCTATCCTGTTTTTCACCTCATCCTGGTAATAAAGTATAATGATTATACTTATTCAAAAGCATTGGAAATTAGCAGAACGTTCCTCTGCATTACTATCTTTCTAATTGTTTTTCCCTTTTGTGACTCATGGTTTCTTTGGAACTGGATATAGTTAATTAGCTATTTTGGTTTGGGAGGGCTTTTCTTCTAGAATATGTGAAAAGTGAGTAAGAACATAGCGATCAGTAAATGTTGCTTTTAAATGGAACTTCTGTTTTGTAGAGTGTGTGTCCATGTATAAGGGACAATTATTATATGTATTATGGAACAATTATTATATGCTTTTTAAAGCACCTCGGTGGCTCAGGGACTGATTTCAGCTCAGGTCATGATCTCAGGGTTGTGAGGTTGAGCCAGATTGAGCTCAGCAGGAAGTCTGCTTGGGATTCTCTCCTTCCCACTCCCCCTCCTCACCCTTGCTCTCTGGCTCTCTCACAGAAATAAATAAATCTTTTTTTTTTTTAATAAAGACCATAATTTGATAGGTACTGAGTCTATTTTGTATTTCAGTTTTCCATCTTTGAATGGAGTCATTTAAATTTTGTGGCTCTGGATATTTGAAATCATTTGGACACCCAAATTTGAACTATAACTTTCTGAACTGTGATAATACTGCAGGTGAGAAAGGAGTGTTTATTTGCTTAAAATAATAGTTTTAGTAAGGGACTGATAGTACTTCTTTGATATATAAGCTCTATTTCGTCTCCACATTAAGAGGAAAGCAATGGGCAGGAGAGGCACATATAGCACACACAATCTAATGATAGTAAAATCTATTTCTTTGAAACTAATGGGATGAATCATTCTGGAAAATCATGCCTAGAGCTTTTACCTCTTTAGCTTTTTTTTTTTTTTAAAGGTGATTTTATTTTATTTTTAAACATTTTATTTATTTCCTAGAAAGTGTGTGCAAGCAAGGGCAGGGCAGGGGAGAAGCAGACTCCGCTGAACAAGGAACCTGTGGGGCTTGATCCCAGGACCCTGGGATCATGACTTGAGCAGAAGGCAGATGCTTAACCAACTGAGCCACCCAGGCATCCCCTTTCCTTTAGTTTTTAGGATTTATCACTTTAAGCCTTCCAGGTTTTCTTTCCTTTTTTTTTTTTTTTAAGCATGTTGAATGGAAATCTTTGCAAATGACAGTACATCTTTTGCTTTTGCTCTTTTCAGTGTACAAGTCATTGCATTTTAGTGCATTTACAGAGTTGTATAGTTTTCACCACAATCTAATTCTGCCTTTGCTTTTGATAAATGAGGGTTATGAATTGTATACACTTTTGTTTTCTCAGACATTGATTTTCTTTAGGGGGACTGAAGTGTCAAGTTCGGTCTCCCCTTACATTGAATGTAAATGATCTCAGACTGCTGCACTGTCATTGTTCTTGCCCAAGGGAGTCTTAGGTTCATTTATTGTATTTGTTTTGCTTGATTAGAAATTAGACAACCAGGCTTGTTAAAATTGTATAGAAAATAGAATGATATGGGGGTGCATTAATTTCTTTTTTTAAATAAAAGCTTTATTGAGATAATTCACATAATATATAATTCAGTGGTTGTTAGTCTTTTTACAGAACTGCGCAACCATTGATTTTAGAATATTTTCATCACCCCACAAGAAACGAGCACTCATTACCAGTTTCATTTCTCTCTAGCCCTGTGCAGCCACTATATTGCATTAACTTTTATACCACTAGTTGGTTTGTGTGTGTGTGTGTGTGTGTGTGTGGTCTCTTCACAATCTTTTTGCTACTTTTTTTCCCATCTGGTGCAGTTCCAGATGGGTGAAGCATTGCCAAAAAATTAGCCAGCCTTTACTCAAAACTCAACAGACTGGTTTTGGTGATATGTTTCCTTTTTATACCATTAAAATATTTGCATTTGGACAGTCTTGAGGGAAAATTAGACCTTGCTTGTCTGTTTATTTTAAAGCTGCAGAATAAATGAAAGGCTTCATAAAGTCTTTCAGTGGGATAAGTATTGTCTAATCTGTATAAGTATGATTATAACATTTTCATGTATATGTCATTAATGTAGGATTAGTGGAGAAATTAGTGACTCCCAGGTGTTTATTGCATACTTACATGCTGAGCATTATGCTAGTGGTTTTGAAGAACGTGAAATAAAGGAATATGACAGGTTCTGTCAGGTAGCTCACATTCTGTCAGGGTAGGTATGACATTCATTAGCACAGAATTAAGGACTAAATGGCCTATTTACTGCACATAAGTACAGTTCAGAAAAAGAAGAGATCAGTATGAGCTAGAGTAGAGTAATTGGAGGGCTCAAGGAGGAGCTGGTACTTAACCAGTTGAAGAGAATTTGCAAAAGCGAGGCACCTGAAGACATTCCAAGTAAGAACTAGCATAAAATGCATAGAAACACATGTGACTTAAAAAACTACTTTTCAAATCTTTTTTGCATTTTTAGGTAGAGGGGAAGAGAACTTAACAGAATTGGTTTTAAAGAAAGTCATTTCCTGCTGCTGAATTTTCTTATATTATGAATATTTTTAAATACTAAATTTGAGTTTATTCACATGCATAAAAGTGCCCAAGCTGAGCCTTTATAAACTTTAGGATTAAATTGGGATTTAATTTCTTTTTTTTTCTTTTTTTTTTTTTAGGATTTAATTTCTTAAAATAATCTATTTTACACGTGTTTTTCAGCCGCCTGTCTTGGTTAGATGGCTCTGGATTAGGATTCTCACTGGAATACCCCACCATTAGCTTGCATGCGGTGTCCAGGGACCTAAATGCCTATCCACGAGAGCATTTGTATGTTATGGTGAATGCTAAATTTGGAGGTATGTATGGTGTGATTTAATCTTGAGCTTCCTTTGATAGAATATTACATATATTTAAAAAGCAGTCTTTGAAAAAAAAATAAAATAAAAAGCAGTCTTTGATCATAAAGTAATATTCAAGCCATTGACCTATTTTGTATAATAGTTTATTAAGCAAAATTTCAGCTCAGTAAAATAATTTAGATACTGCTTTTTACTTTCTATATATATTTGCGCTTAGAATTATTCAGTTATTGTGGATTTGTATTTCTGGTTTTTTCCTCTTGCGTTTAACTGTTCTTCTTTTTGTTAAGGCATTTATATTTGATATCCTTAGAAGCTTGGATCAGGATACTTTGTGCCTCCAAGTACAAAATGTAGAACCTGGTTTTTTTTTTTTTTTTGGTTGGTTCCATTTTATTACAGAGGTGGTTCTCAGTAGGGACAGTATTGTGTCCCCCCTCTCCTTAGGCAATGACATTCTGATTGTCATGAGTGGAAGAGGGGAGGAGTGCTACTGGTATCTAGTAGTTAGAGGCCAGAGATGCTACTTAACATCCCACAAGACACCGAACGACATCCCACAGTGAGGAATTACCAAGTCCAAATGTCAGTGGTGCCAAGGTTGAGAAACTCCGTGGTACAAGATTCCCAAGTTTTTTGCTATTGAAATAATTAGAAAGATTCATAAAAAATCTAGTGAGAGTGATGAAAGAAGGAGTAAGAAAGAAAAAAATCCATTTTGGGGGTTGTTGACAATGGGTTATTAGAATTCCCAATGATAAACAATTTAGGTACAGAATTAAAACTTGTGTTTAATTTTTTAAGCATAACTAAATGAGAAGTTTTTCCTATACTGTGTTACTTTAATATGCTCACCTTTTATAGAAATGCAGAACTTTGTGACTGAAAGGACAGTTTGTTACACTTTTACTAAACTTGTGCTTTTATTTTTATTTCTTTTTTTTTTTAAGATTTTATTTATTTATTCATGAGCAACACACAGAGAGAGGCAGAGACATAGGCAGAGGGAGAAGCAGACTCCCCGTGGAGAGCCTGATGTGGGACTCAATCCCAGGAACACACCTTGAGCTAAAGGCAGATGCTCAACCACTGAGCTACCCAGGTGTCCCTAAACTTGTGCTTTTAAAATAATGAGTTGCTTTTCTTTGATAATAGTGTATAAAGACAATCCCATAAGTTTGCCGGTTAAGCTATTGCTCCTTCAATTTAGGGTTTTAATATGGTTTCAGATATAAGATGACCATTTATAATCCGTGTGACACTAATTATTTAGTAATATTGAGGGCTTTTGTCAAGCCCTATCTCATCATTCCTGTCTGATTCAGCTATCTGAAAATATTTTTGTTAGGCAATCTCAAACACTTGCCATTGGAGAAAGTGCAAAGATAGATATAAAAATCTAGTGAAATTTGAAAGAGAAGGTAAGGAAAAGAAAAAGCTGTTGATCTGGGATTGTAGTAAGACTTCAGTTGAGGAAGTATTGGGCACAAAGTTCACTTTCCAAGTAAGTGCAGCTATGATTTTATAACCAAGATTATTGTATTTCATATTTAGTTTAAGCCATTCATTCATCCATAGAATTGCAAAAACTTAGAGGTGACCTTGCCAGTCATTTCCAAACCCTGATGTGAAATGCCCATAAATAATGGAGAGCATTAGCTTTGGGCAAAGGTGTATGTCAGAAAATTAGAGAGGTAGGGCTTCAATGAAGCTAACTAAAGAGAAAAACACAGTGAATAAGAAGACTGTCATTAACTTGGTAAGCAAGTTATTTTCATCTCTCTGAGCCTCAATTTCATTCAGCAAAATGAGGGTATTGTAGTGGTCTTTAGTTCTTAAACCTGGCTGTACATTAGAAGCAACGTGGGGAGCTTTTTAAAAATGAAAATACCGGGAGTCCCAAATTAGACAGTAAGGATTCAGTAGGTTCATGGTAGGTGTTTTAAATGTTTGCTCTCTGTGATTATTTTCTTGAAATTGATGGGGCTATGATTAATCCTTTCTTACTAAAGTAAGTAGGACTTCACTATCTTTGTAGAAAGTAGAATCCTCCTGGGTCACATTTATGTTGTAGTTCTCCAGTTCTGTTTATGTGGGACTCAGCTCTTCTCATATGTTACATGTGCTTGGATCCTGTTTTCCCAGCCTTTTGTTCCTCTCATCCTGATTCTCCCAGCTCCAGGTATTTTTTCCCTTTGGTTGATCTCCATAAACCTCATTAATGTGGACCTTTAGCTTATAGTTGAGGACATTATATTAATGTTGGTTTTTTTTTTAAGATTTTATTTATTTATTCAGGAGAGACACAGAGAGAGGCAGAGACATAGGCAGAGGGAGAAGCAGGCTCCCCATGGGTAGCCCAATGCGGGACTCCATCCCAGGACCCCAGGATCACACCCTGAACCAGAGGCAGACGCTCAACCCCTGAGCCACCCAGGCATCCCAAGGATATTAAGCTATTTCAAAAATATGGACGCGTGGGTAATTCAGCAGTTGAGCATATATACCTTTGGCTCAGGGGTGATCCTGGGGTCCTGGGATGGAGTCCCATATCAGGCTTCCTGCAGGGAGCCTGCTTCTCCCTCTGCCTATGTCTCTGCCTCTCTCTGTGTCTCTCCTGAATAAATAAATAAAATCTTAAAAACAACAAATAAAAATAACTAAAAACTTATTCCCACTGTTGAAAATTTAGAAAGGTTTAGAGACTGAAAATATGGCAGATAAAATATGATCTAGCACAAGATGATGAGTGTTGATCATGGTTGTATTTTTTTTCTTAATTGCAAAAATACTGTATTGCATTTATATTTCTTGCCTTAGGGTAGATTCCTGAGGATATAAAACAAATTGTAATAATTGTTATTTCTAGGGAGAAGATCGAGAGTGGTAGGGACCTACTTTTTCCTTAGAATCATCTACATTCTTTTTAAACCCTGAAAAAGTATCATAATACCATAATAATGTCTTCAGTTCAACTATTTAGTTATTTAGAATTCCCCAGTATTTTTGTATTATTTTACTTGTTTACAGATTATATATAACAATGTAACAATATAACAACAAAAAGACAAAAAAAGTCCTATGAAATCTCTGATTTAAAATTGTTAATGGTCACTTAATTTTTTTTCCTTTTTTTGCTTATCTGTATTTTTTCATTCTACATTCAGCTTGTATGACTTAGAAAAATAAAAGTAAAAAAAATTTAGTGGACACCCCCTATAATTGATTCCTATGTATATAATTGCTGTTTTAAAGGTAATACTTTTAAAGCTCTTAACATATATATTGTCAAATTGCTTTCCAGAAAGTGTATTTCAATTTACCCTTTCAATAGTAGTGTAAGAATCTTTCTACCTGACTTTTATCTGCATGGAGAATTAAAATTTTTTAAAAATGGTAATTTTAATATGCTAAACAACATTTAACTTATATTTTCATGTAGTTATTTTTTATTTAAATTCAGTTCAGTTAACAATATAATAATATAGTATATTATTATTATTATTAGTTTTGGGTAGAATATAGTGATTCATCACCCTTAATTCATATTTTTAAGATTATTAGTTTGAATATATTTTTGAATAATCACTACATCCAACATGGGGCTTGAACTTACAACTCTGAGAGCAAGAGTCACATGCTCTACTGACTGAGCCAGCCAGGCACTCCTAAAGATTTTAGTTTTAAAATCTTACATTTAGTTAATCTCTACATCCAATGTGGGGCTTGAAATTAAATCCCAAGATCAAGAGTCAGTATGCTCTACCAACTGAGTCAACCAGGTGCTTTCACCTGTTTTTTTAAATTACGAAATAATTCAGACATTGAAAAATACAGAGAGTAATAAAATTTTTACATTATTCGTTATCTAGCATAAATTCTAATATTTTCTTCATAATTAATCTTAAAGAAATACAACTGGGGGCACTTGTGTGGCTCAATCAGGTAAGTGTCTGACTCTTGATTTCCACTCAGGTCATGATCTCAGGGTTGTGAGATCGAGCCTGGTGTCTGGCTCTGTGCTCATGTGGGAGTCTGCTTGAGATTATATTCCTCTCCCTTTGCCCCTCCTCCCTGTATGTGTGCTCTCTGTCTCTCAAATAAATAAATAAATAAATAAATCTTTAAAAAAAAAAAAGGAAATAAAATTGTATCAGTACTCTTGAAATCTTTTTTGTACCTTTCTCATTTTGTTCACTACTCTGTCTCCCAAGGTAAATATTATCCTAAAGGTGGGTGGTATATATCCTTCCCATCTAAGCTTTTAAATTTTTACTGAATATGTATAAATCACTAAGTAATATAATGATTTAGTTTTGTGTTTAAAATTTTAATATGTAAGTGGTATTTATATATATTCTGCAATTAGTTTTTTCACTCCGTTTTTTTATTCTAAGCGTTTTGATATATATATATATATATATATATATATATATATATATATATATATATTAAGATTTTATTTATTTATTCATGAGAGGGAGAGAGAGGCAGAGACACAGGCAGAGGGAGAAGCAGGCTCCATGCAGGGAGCCTGATGTGGGACTCGATCCTGGGTCTCCAGGATCACACCCTGAGCCAAAGGCAGGCACCAAACCGCTGAGCCACCCAGGGATCCCCGTTTTGATATGTATAGATATTTGTTCCTTTTTAAACTGTTATCTGTATATAAAACAATATGACTGGGTTACATTACATCTGTTTCTTTTTTTAAAATTAACATTTTAAAAAAATTTTACAAGTACATATAGTACTTTAATAAACATTTACATATAGACTCTTTGTGTACATAATATATACTTAGATTAGGAATTGCTGGGTAGTAGGATATACACACCTCCAAAATAGTAGTGGCAGTTCTTACTTCCACTGACATGATGTGCTAGTTGTCTTTATTGAACATTTTTTTTAAAAGATTTTATTTATTCATGAGAGACACAGAGAGAGGCAGAGACACAGGCACAGAGAGAAGTAGGCTCCACGCAGGGAGCCTGTTGTGGGACTTGATCCTGATCCCAGGAGTCCAGGATCACGCCCTGGGTTGAAGGGAGGGAGGCGCTCAACCGCTGAGCCACGCAGTCATCCCGAACATTTGTATGTTTTTCTTGCCTGCAGACTTTGGTAATTTATCTGCTGTTGGGTCAGCTAACTTTTTTTTTTTTTTTTTTTTTTTAAGATTTAATTTATTTAAGAGAGAGAAGGAGAGGCAGAGACACAGGCAGAGGGAGAAGCAGGCTCCGTGCAGGAAACCTGATGTGGGACTTGATCCCGGGACTCCAGGATCGCGCCCTGGGCCAAAGGCAGGCACCAAACTGCTGAGCCACCCAGGGATCCCCAAGGGTCAGCTAACTTTTATGGGCCTTAGTTTTCTCTGTAAATTATTGGTGATAAATTACATCAGTGGTTGACAAACTGCTACTGCACCCTTGTTTCATGGTGAAAGGTAAGAGAAGCAGATGACAATCGAACTATACTTGTTAGAGGCCTGTTTGTGTTTCCTCACCGCCCACCATGACCCTGAAGAGTGCTTAGAATCTTAGAATCCCTAGGGCTCAATGAAGTACAGTGTGACTAGACCAAGGAGGCTGTCCCAGTCTTTTTTAGGTCTAAAATAAATTATGAATGTTCTTAAAATGTGAAGTAAGAAATGCATTGCAGGGATGCCTGGGTGGCTCAGTGGTTGAAAGTCTGCTTCTCCCTCTGCCTGTGTCTCTGCCTCTCTCTCTGCCTGTGTCTCTGCCTCTCTCTCTGTGACTGTCAGGAATAAATAAAATCTTAAAAATGTATTGCAGTATTTAGAATAAGCATAAATAAGAGATTATTTTAAGCTTCTGTTTTTCCAAAACAACATCATTTAAAAATTGTTTTTTGGGGGGTAGCCCCGGTGGCATGCAGCGGTTTAGCACCGCCTGCAGCCCAGGGCATGATCCTGGAGACCCTGGATCGAGTCCCACGTCGGGCTCTCTGCATGGAGCCTGCTTCTCCCTCTGCCTGTGTCTCCGCCTCTCTCTCTCTGTCTCTATGAATAAATAAATAAAATCTTTTTTTAAAAAAAATTTGTTTTTAGGGATGCCTGGGTGGCTCGTCTGCCTTCAGCCCAGGGCGTGATCCTGGAGTCTCCGGATCGAGTCCTACATCAGGTTCCCTGCATGGAGCCTGCTTCTCTCTCTGCCTGTGTCTCTGCCTCTCTCTCTCTGTCTTTCATGAATAAATAAAATCTTTAAAAAATAATAAAAATAAAAATTATTTTTATTCTCTCCCTAGAAGAATCAAAAGAATCTGTTGCTGAAGAAGAAGAAGACAGTGATGATGAAGTTGAACCTATTGCTGAATTTAGATTTGTGCCTAGTGATAAATCAGCATGTGAGTATTCTGTAGAATTGATTCTTTTCTCTTTATTACCAAGCATTCCAACCCCCATATACACACACACACATTTACCTTTACCCTCATTACCTCTGTTCTACTGGTTTTTCTTCATTTTAATATCTGTCATATCATTGAGGACCAGATACCTATAAATATCAAAGATTGTGAATGTGGTAACAGTATAGGAAACGCCACATTATTTGGTGTGTTTTGTGAATGGAGAGATCTGGTTATTTTACTGACTTGATGCTGTTAACTTTGAATCTTACCAGATAGAGGGAAAGGAGTCATGGCAATTCCAAAGTGGAAGATGCCAGGATAGCAGGAAAAGAGCCCTATCAACTGAAAGGGGCTTCACCTTGATGCCAGCAGTCTGACCAAGACTCTGACTCCTTTTCTCAGAAAATCCAGCCAGGCATGAAGAGATCTCAACATTATCTTAAAATGAACTCTTACTATTTTGTGACTTGTCTATTGCCATCAAGTACTTTTCAAGATCAATTCTCCTTGGAATTTGGCAGGTTTTGTAAATAGTGACTCTGGTATATTTCTTGTCTACACATTGGATTTATTTGCACTGTGATTATATTATTAAATTTTTGCTCTATACTGACCAGAAAAGAATGTTTATTACAATTTAATTTCTTTCTTCAGTGGAGGCAATGTTCACTGCAATGTGTGAATGTCAGGCTTTGCATCCTGATCCTGAGGATGAAGATTCAGATGATTACGATGGAGAAGAATATGATGTGGAAGCACATGGTTAGTGAAACAGATTTTTTTTTAAATGTGTGTATGTTTCATTTTAAGCATTTATTTGTACTAAGGGTATGGGATTATAGTTCTTTATATCTCTGTATTAAATACCCATATAGTGTGGTTATTAATAAAATTGAATGGCACAATCCATGTTTAAGCCAAACTGGAAAAATGGATGGGCTTTCCAAGCTTTAGGGTAAAAAGTATGTATTATTGGAGGCAGAAAATGGATAGAGATAAATGGAAGGGAAAAAAAACAGTAGATGGGAAAATGTGTGGTTGGGAGTGTCTTTTAAGTTGATGCAGTTGCTCCCAGAGAACAAGCCGCCTCCCTCCACCACTTGAAACCTTTATCATCATTTATCATCCTTACCTAACATTCCTTCAAACAACTCACTATCAAAGTCATTTTCTCCCCCCAGAACCATACTTCATTTACCTAAGATTATTTCTCTTTGCCTCCCCCAGACCAGAGTACCATCACTAGCCTGGTAGAGTCTTGTAACTTGAGGTGCCTACTGTTCTCTTTTCTTTTTCCCACTGCTCTCATGTCCACCAGTCTGCCTGTCCAAAGTCCTTTCCTCCATATGTACCTACTTCCTGGCCTGAGACAAACTCAGTTCTGGAATTATCATATATCTAAATACATTTTTATTGTCGCTGAGATTTTTGAATGATTCTTTTTAACCTTTTTACATTTAACAGAATTTCTGAGTTTTTAAAAGGAGCATATATTTTAATCCAGAGAAAAGCATCAGTACAAATTAGTATCAAATCAATTTGCACTCACCTGTCAATTCCCACTTTGGGATAACATAAGACTTCCTGGGCTTAGGAACACCCTCTTTTCCTTCTAGTCCCCTGGACATTTGATTTTTTGAGAATTGCTATTTACTGGCTCATCATCTTTTGGAATCTCTTCTCATTCTAGAGGGTAGAGACATTTTCTTTGTATTTTTATTTTCAACAGATGACCTATGTATGTGTATTAAATGAATATTGAAAATATTTTCCTGGAAACCTTTTAAAACTGTACCTTCAATAAATACATTGTTAATTATCCATGTTTTTCTAATTGCTTTATAATAGCTTAAAAGCATTTTATTTGTTTAGAACAAGGGCAGGGGGACATCCCTACATTTTATACCTATGAAGAAGGATTATCCCATTTAACAGCAGAAGGCCAAGCCACCTTGGAGAGATTAGAAGGAATGCTTTCTCAGTCTGTGAGCAGCCAATATAACATGGCTGGAGTCCGGACAGAAGATTCAATCAGAGATTATGAAGGTGAGTATCCTTTCTTTCAGTGTGAGCAAGTCAAATGTTTATTTGGTCAACAAAGGAAGTTATAGAGAGATCGGAATTCTCTTGGAAAGTCTTAAGACAGAGAAGTCTCAGAATTAACTCTAACAGTATAGGAAGCAAATGTAGAAATACATAGAATGGGAATTTTCATGGAACTTTTTTTTCTTTTCTATTTTTTTTTCCTTTTTCCCCTCAACTACAAAAATAGTAAATGAGCACAGGCAGAGAAGAAATGAAAAAATCAAGTGTAGTTATATTTGAAAGACCACTATTAAGTTTTCTGTTACATATCCAGTAATATATGCCACATATGCTTATGTATGTATATGTGTGTGTGTACATATCAATGCTGCAATTCTTATTTTTATTTTTTCAAAGATTTTATTTATTCATGAGAGACACAAAGAGTAGGCAGAGAGAAAAGTAGGCACTCTGCAGGGAGCCGGATGTGGGAATTGATCCCAGGACTCCGGGACCAGGCCTTGAGCCAAAGGCAGATGCTCAACCACTGAGCCACCCAAGCGTCCCTAACATTTTTATTTTTGAAATGAATTCCTACATTTCAGGAATTGATTAAAAGGACTAGGCAGCATTCAAGAAACTTGGGTTCTTGTTTTGTGGCAAACTTCTGGACCTTAAGCAAGTAGCTTTCAAATTCGCTTCAGTTGTCTCTACTTTATAGGCTTCTTATTTCCCCTGTTAGACTGGTTGGCTTTTCTGTGTATCCTGTTTCAACCAGAATGTTCAGGTACTCTTTTTGACTCAGACTTTACTTTGTATTCCTTGTATTCCTTGCTCCCTTGACCCAGTGCAATGCCGGGTCCCATAGATTTTTCATGTAAATGACTTTCACATTTCCTTGCTATTATTACTGCTCTCATTCAGTCATAGGCTCTTGTCTTCTCACACTAGATTTATAATAGTAATTTTTTGCTTCAGTCATTCCTGCCTCCAACTTATTGTGCCATTTGAATCTTCTGAGAATACTCTCTGGTCACCCATATAGGGATGTCCCCCTCAGTGATTGCCCAATACTCACCATATAAGGTTCTAATTCTGAAGAAACAACCTTGCCTTTGCCCCAGATATCTTCAGTCTTGTTCCTACTTATTTTCAATAGAACACTCAGCTACTGCTCTTATGTGCCAGACGTGATTTAAGCACATTACACATGTGTACTCACTTAATCCTTCCAAGAACACTCTGTGGTAAATGTTATTATGATCCCTATTTTACAGATGAAGAAACTGAAGCACAGAAAGATCCTATAACTTGCATAAGGTCAAATAGCTAATAAGTGGTAAGAGGATTAAATGAGCTAATATGCAAAAAACAATACATCAGGGGAACCCCGGGTGGCTCAGTGGTTTAGTGCCGCCTTCAGCCCAAGGTGTGATACTGGAGTCACAGGATCGAGTCCCACGTCGGGCTCCCTGCATGGAGCTTGCTTCTCCCTCTGCCTCTACGTGTGTGTGTGTGTGTGTGTGTGTGTGTGTGTGTGTGTGTGTGTGTCTCTCTCATATATAAATAAATAAAATCTTTAAAAATTAAATTAAAAAGAAAAAAACAATACATCATGCCTTATTATAAGCACTTCTTGCACCTTACATGTATTTAATATATACTAGTGTTTTATGTTGTTCTAGAGTCTTACCACTTCTAATTTTTGGAGATGTAGAATGTTGTGTTTTGGGGGTTTCGTTTTTTCTTTTAAGATTTTATCTATTTATATGAGAGAGAGCACAAGCAAAGGGAACAGAAGGGGAGAGGGGGAAGCAGGCTCTCCACTGAGCATGGAGCCTGATGTAGGGCTCAATCCCAGGACCCTGGGATCATGACCCGAGCTGAAGCCAAATGCTTAATCACCTGAGCCACCCAGGCACCCTGAGATGCAGAATGTTCTCAAAGAGGGTTACCATAGGTTTACTTTTCTTTTTTTTTTTTTTAATTTTATTTATTTATGATAGTCGCAGAGAGAGAGAGAGAGAGGCAGAGACATAGGCAGAGGGAGAGGGAGAAGCAGGCTCCATGCACCGGGAAGCAGGCTCCATGCACCGGGAGCCCGATATGGGATTCGATCCGGGTCTCCAGGATCGCGCCCTGGGCCAAAGGCAGGTGCCAAACTGCTGCGCCACCCAGGGATCCCGGTTTTCTTTTTTTTAATTAAAGATTTAATTTATTTGAAAGAGAGCATGCAAGCAGGGAATGGTTCAGAAGGGGGGAGAGAATCTCAAACACACACTGCAGAGTGTGGAGTCTAACATGGGGCTTGATCTCAGGACACTGAGATCATGACCTGAGCCAAAATCAAAAGTTAGACGCTTAACCACTAAGTCACCAGGCACCCCTAGTTCTTCTTTTATTGGGCATTGTAAGTTTCTGTCATAATGCTGTGATCGGTATCTTCATGCATACAGCATGTTGACCTGGGAACCCTGAAGTCCTGGGATACTTTAATTTGGAAAAGTTTAGGCTTTGGGTCACATTGTTATTCCTTGTGTATCCTCTCCATTTTAAGTCCTGGTTGGTGAGCTTCTAATGTAAAGTGAAATGGCTCAGATGATTTCTGGTGTTCTACCAAACTCTTAGGTGAAAGAATTCAAGATGTTACCTCCTTTTTATTACAGTGATTAACAAGAAAGTGTCCTTGGATGTTGAAAAGCCTTTTCTTTCTACACTGAAGGTTTTTTTTTTAATTGTAAAATTTCTTATTTAATGCTTTATAGCAAATGATTTTAAGATCACAAATACTTTTTGCTAAATGAAATTTGGACTTTTATTCCTATGCCTTATTAGCATTCAAGAGTTTATTAGTGAAACTTTTTTAGCCTATACCACCTTCTAAAGTCCTGAGTACCCATGCCACTTTTTTTTTTTAATTTTTTTTTTTATTTACTTATGATAGTCACAGAGAGAGATTGAGGCAGAGACACAGGCAGAGGGAGAAGCAGGCTCCATGCACCGGGAGCCCGAGGTGGGATTCGATCCCGGGTCTCCAGGATCGCGCCCCAGGCCAAAGGCAGGCGCCAAACCGCTGCGCCACCCAGGGATCCCCCCATGCCACTTTTTTTTGCCATTTACTTATTTTGTTTGACCTGTGCATTTATTTTTTTAAAATTTGATTTATTTTTAAAAATTTTTTAAATAAAGATTATATATTTAAGGTATGGTATGCCAGATGATGTTTTCATATATATAGGGAAATATTTACTACAGCCAAGCTAATTAACATCCCTATCTCCTCACATAGTTAATGCTTTTTTTATGGTGAGAACACTTATGATCTGCTGTCTTGGTAAATTTCAGTCTTTTTGCAGTTTATACATACCCTCTCACAGTTCTTTCTGCCCACGAATCCTGCTCCCCATGCTTTAATAAAACCATCTTTTTTTGCACTGAAAAATAAAACATCCTATCTCCTTGTGGTATTCAGTGCCTCATGTACTTATTTATGTAAGAAGTGCCTATTGAACTACTCTGGCCGGTGTAGAAAATACATCAGTGCCCAAGAGAGATGAGATTACTCTCTTCGTAGAGAAAAATAAATTAACTAATTAGGCAGTTACAGTACATTATGATACAGCATAAAGTTATAGGGGAAGCTTGAGAAGCTAGGGAATGAGAGGCTGGACTCATCACCCAACCTGGATAGTTAGATTCAAGCTTCATAGAGTGACATCTGAGCCAGGATCTGAAAGAGGACTAAAAGTGACCTGGGTGAGGGGGGATTGCACACAGGTTGGAGAGAGAGGCAGGTAATGGGATCAACTATGTGCAGGAGTTCAAAAGACCATTCAACTTTAGGGACTGAAAGTAGTTCGTTATGTCTGGAATTCTGAGTGTTGAAGAGTAAGTTATTATAGCAGCAGATAAAAGTGGGGGAGTGAACTGGGTTATATCTTAAAGGAACTTGAAAGCTTTGTTAAAGAACTTCAATGTTAGTGCGTAGGCCAATGAGAATGTGAAGTGAAGAATTTTTAGTTTGATTAGTATTGCAGAAGATGACCCTGGGTATGATGTGGAAAATGATTGCAGAGGGAAATACTGGAGGAAAGAGAAGAAAAACGCTGCTAAGTAACTTGTGATTTAAATTAAATGAGAGAGGGATCCCTGGGTGGCGCAGTGGTTTGGCGCCTGCCTTTGGCCCAGGGCGCGATCCTGGAGACCTGGGATCGAATCCCACGTCGGGCTCCTGGTGCATGGAGCCTGCTTCTCCCTCTGCCTATGTCTCTGCCTCTCTCTCTCTCACTGTGTGACTATCATAAATAAATAAATAAATAATTAAAAAAAAAAAAACAAAAAAAAATAAATGAGAGAGATCGTGGCCTACATTTGGTAGCGGCAGTGAATGTCAAAAGACTTAACAGATTTGAGAGATGTTTAAGAGAGAAAAGCAACAAAGTTAATGTGGTAGGGATTTCTGGATTGCACAGGTAAGAGGTATCCTTCAGTAAGACTGTTTGGAAAGAGAGACTTTTTTTAAAGTAGGCTCTGCACCTAATGTGGGACTTGAACTCACGACCTGAGATTAAGAGTCGCATGCTCTACCAACTGAACCAGTCAGGTGCCCCAAGAGAATAATTTCAATGTGGAAAGATGAGTTAACTTTAGAAATGTGTTACATGTGCATGCCCTGCTGCATGTGGAGGTGGTAGAGTGCTACAGGGCTCAGGCAGAGGCCTGTTGTTGGGCTAAACAGTTGAGGGGTGAGTGGGAGGTGTGGATATGGAGAAAGCAGCTGTAAACAACTCTCTTCAGAGGGCTTTTTCTTCCTTGTCTTTCCCTACACACACTTTTTTTCCCCTCTATGAAATGAGGAAAATAGATAAGAACCTCACTCTACTTACTTTGTCTTTTCTCCAAATTATGTTGTCAGCTTTGTGAGGTTAGGGCTTTCATACCTTTAAAAATAAAAATAATGGGGTGGCTCAGTCAGTTAAGCATCTGCCTTCAGCTGATCTCAGGGTTCTGGAGTGGAGCCTTGCATCAGGCTCCCAACTCAGCAGGGAGTCTGCTTCTCCCTCTCCCCTTGCCCCCCCCCCCTTTCGCTAATGCTCTCTTTCTCTCACATAAATAAAATCTTAAAATAGTAATAATGTCACACAGTAAATACCCAGCACAGTTCTGTGAAGAGGAAATAGTTGATGCCCACTACATTTAAAACTTATCTAATGTTCTTTTAGTTTTAAGGTTAAGAATTTATAAAGTAAATGTACAGGTAGCATTTTTTTTCTTGGTTTGTTCCTCCTCTTTCATAAGAGAAAGAAATAGCTGTTACCAACAGAGGGCACTAGCTTCTTTCTGGTTGATGTATAGGTTGAACCCCTAAGATCTGAAGAGCTCAGTAGACTGTTGCTCAGCTGTTGATTTTTTTTTTTTTCTTCAGATGGGATGGAGGTAGACACTACACCAACAGTTGCTGGACAGTTTGAGGATGCAGATGTTGATCACTGAAGATGATTTATGCTGCTGTGGGGTGAGTATTTTCTCCCTTGTCACTGAACTTGAAAATCACGTGAAATAATTAATTTTTATTTTTCTAATTCAGGAGAACTTTGTACAATTTGCAGTTTGGAAGAATGTTAGTTCTCCATTTCTGAAATTATTGAGACTTATATTTTATTTTTCCTCTAAGGAATCAAGGTCTGCAAACAGTGATATTCAGGTTAACATTTACTGAGCGCTTAACCACTTGTTAAGCACTGTGCTGGACATTGGGTAATGCTAGGCATTGAGGCATGAAAGAATAAGACTCATCTTCGGTGGGATCCCCGGGTGGCGCAGCGGTTTGGCGCCTGCCTTTGGCCCAGGGCGAGATCCTGGAGACCCGGGATCGAATCCCAGGTCGGGCTCCTGGTGCATGGAGCCTGCTTCTCCCTCTGCCTGTGTCTCTGCCTCTCTCTCTCTCTGTGTGTGACTATCATAAATAAATTTAAAAAAATTAAAAAAAAAAAAAGACTCTTCGGTGAGCTCAGAAGAAGGACATTCATTCATTCAGAAATGGAGAGCTTCCCCAATTGGCTAGTAGGGAGCAGCAGAGCCTGAGATCATGTCCTGCTCTGCTCAAGTCACCTTTTCCCACTTGTGGTGTTTGAAACCTTAGCATGTTTAGAAAACACAAAAGCAGAGATTTGCTGCAGCTCACTGCTATTCAATTTATGGAGGAAGTAGAAGTAATTCTAGATTATATCTAAGCCTTTAATTTAATCATAATCTTTTATCAACTTCCCTCCTTTTGAAAATAATGGACGACCAAGGTCCTGGGCACTTTACTGTTCAAGACCAGTTTGCCAAACTGTAAGTCCATGCACACTTGCCCAAAAGCTATCATTTCCTAAGTTGCTTCATAACTGCGTTCTTGACTGATGTAAGAGTTTGTGGCCAGTTTTCTCTGACACATTCTCTTTGCTTAAAGTTTGTCCCTGACTTTGCTGCATGTTACTCTGAGAATAAATTGTCCTTTGCCAGCTTGAGTATCTCAGCTGTATGTTTGATAATAACTTAAGGTCGTATGGTTAGTTCATACCATCTAGAGCTCTAGGACTAGTTGGCCTTCCATTATGAGCTATAAGATTTTTACTTTGTTAAAATTATTGTCCCTCTTTCCCCGCTCCAGTGCCCTCCTACTTCTGACCTGGTAGCATTTTCTTGAGTACTGGCTGTCTTCTAGTCTTCGTGATGTTACTTATGCCCATGTCCTCTATTTGAAAGCATATGGTAATAGTGCGGCAAGATTTATAGATTTTGGCTTGACTCTTGATTAACTCTTGTAATCCAGTTAGGTTGTCAGATCCCTCTTTTTATTTCCACAGCATTTATTTCTGTCTTTGGTAGCCATGTAGTTTAAAACCATCATTGTCTCTTTTGCATTTAGCCAAAATTATGTGTTCATATTGCTACAACTGTGTTAGCTTTAATTTTCAGATCTCATTGTGCCAGGTATCAGTACTTCAGTATTATACTGTATGGGAAACCTTTTAGTGACAACATTGGTCGTCTTCTCTTTTCACTTTCCTACTTATCATATTCTTCATAGCACGTTGATTTTTTTCAGTTCAGTAACAGTAACTTTTATTGAAACTGAAAATATTTTTTGGATCTTCTGGCTTTCATATATTTCTTCTTGAGAAATAAGACTATTCCGAGAATATCCACCACTGTATTAATAAGCAGTATGAGAAACTCATTTGTTGTGTCACTAATGGTTACATAAATGAGATGTTTCTGCAATTCACTGATGAGAATTCGTAGGATTCTTTATAATGTAGTTTTATGGGGAAATAATCATAAAATAGCCACAGACTTTCTAATGAGCTGATGATTTTTCTATTCATTTTATTTTATTTTATTAAATATTTTATTTATTTATTCATGAGAGACAGAGAGGCAGAGAGGCAGAGACACAGGCAGAGGGAGAAGCAGGCTTCATGCAGGGAGCCCGACGTGGGATTCGATCCCTGGTCTCCAGGATCACACCCAGGACTGAAGGCGGCGCTAAACCGCTGAGCTACCGGGGCTGCCCTGTTTTCTATTCATTTTATGCTACAGCTGGAATAGACAGATATTTTATTCATAAAGTTTATACAAATCATTTAAAATTGTTTTTGCCTTTATGGAATGAACAAGGAATAATTAGAGTGTTTATGCAACCATTAATAATTTCAAGATATTGGAACTAGGACCTCTTAGTGCATGAGATGGGGTGAAGTCAAGGCACAGGAGTGGTGGAATCACAGCTCTACCAAATATCGGCTTCTGTGCCTTTGATAAGGCACATAACTTCTTTTAATCTTCTGTTTCCTCACCTGAAGATGGGGTTGATAAACTACCTGCCAGGATTGTTCCAAAGACTAAGATATATCGAAGTTCTCTGGCACTCTTGACTAGGCATTCAATAAATAATAACTATTATTATAAACACTGTAAATCTTTTGTTTTTCAGATTCTGCTCATAACTAGGAAAGGACTAAAGAACTTGGTGCCTCTTCTACTGTGGAGTGGGTGTTGATGAAAGTCTTTTTCCTTCTCCAAAATTTACCTGAACCAGTTCTTTTTTTGAGACAGACTATATACTGAGACAAAAAGTTGTCACCAGCAGAAGAAACTATGACCTTTATTAACAAAGGTGAATTAACTTAACCAAGAGGGTATATGTAGCTTATCATCTACCCAAAATTTTTGTGTATAGGTATCCTCTGAGTAGGCCTATAGTTCCTGCTTTCACTATATGCATCTTCTGTAACCTGGCAGGCCTATGTGGTGAGAATGCGCAGGTGTTTGAAGACATAGGTAGACTGGATGGGAGGAAGGAGGCTGAATCTAAGATCCTTTAGAGCCTAAGGATTTCCCTTACCCCTTAAAAAGAAAGACAAAGAGATCTCAGAGAAATCCTGGCCACTGCTTGTTCTTCACAGGGATTAGGGTCTTTTTTACTAATTTGGGATCCAGGTTAATTCATTTAGGCATCTTTAGAGAGCCTCTTGGGAAATATCCTAGCCACATGAAATACCACTAATATGGATGCTTCTGATTAGCGTTTACTTCTTTCACCATGTTTCACCAGTCTGTTTTGTTATAACCTCTTAGGTTATAGCCTTTAATTTCTAACCTCTTAGGTCAGTTTCCATAACAAATGAAATTGGGATGAAGTCCTCACAGTACTTCAATGATAATTGTTTTGTGTTTGTAATAGTTTAACAAATAAATCTAGGTTTTCTATATTATTGTACTCTCATTCTTGACTAAAACCATTAATGAAGAAAAAAGTTTTCTTTTAATTAAGGCTGTCAAAAAACAAGAGCCTTGTTGGTTTTTGTGTGACTTTTGTTGAGAATATGAACATGAAATGATTAAAAATACAGTTAAGAGTTTCTGGCAGTTTTTTATAGGGCAAGGATTTAATACATTCCAAGGGATTTCTGTTTCTTCCACTTGGATCAGGAGTAATTTATCAACTCTCAATTTTTAGTTTTCACAAACATCAGGGTATTTGTAAGGCTGATTTATAATTACAGATTTATACTTGGACTTTCTATACCATAGGACTTTAAAAATATATTTAGAAAAGCTATTCAGAATCACTTGGCTAATTAGTGGCTAAACTTTAGTTTGTGACCACTAAGGCCAGTGTTCTTTTCAGCAGTTTCACTTGGTTTCTGTCCTCCTGCTTGGTAGACTGAAAAAAGCTGATATTCCTTTTTCTGATCAGACTCTCAGAAATACTGATTTGTTTCTATAGGCAAGTAAAAAGGCCATTTGGAAATGGATGAAGTTGACTGAGGTCTTCTCTGTATCACCCATTGTCTTAGGTTCCTTTTTTTTTTAATATTTTATTTATTTATTCATGAGAGACAGAGGCAGATAACTTCTTTAATCTCCCCTGCAAGGAGCTTGATGTAGGACTCGATCCCAGGACCCTGGGATTACTACCTGAGCCACCCAGGTGCCTCTGACTTGGGTTCTTTATATACATTACACATATAATATTCTTAATTGCCTTATGAGGTTAGAGATGCTTTTATTCCGTTTTAGAGATGAGGAAACTACAGGTAGAGGTAAAATAACATATAAGGTCATACAGATAGTGAGCTATGATTTTTAAGCCTGTGCTCCAAAACACCATACACCTTTACCGTTAATCAGCAGTTGAAAGGAAGCAAATTCTCTCTTAACTGCAGGATTTTCAATGTTACAATTTCAATGGACAATACAGGAAGTTCCCAGATGTATCTGCTGTCAATCTCAGCAGCACTTATTCTATCCTAGACATTTTACCTCTTCTTCAGTAACCAGTCAGGGTATTCTCCTAGGCCAATCTTAGAAATTCTATTTGGGGCCTTTTTTGAAGTCATACAAACTTGTCATCCTGACTTTTTAGTGAAGCAATAAAGTGCTCTGGTAATAATTGAAAAAATATTGAGATTCTGTGACTGTTTCTGTAGGCACTGTTGTGGTCAGCTCGTATTATGGGTAATGCAGTCATCTAAGATGCATGAGACCAGGCATCTAGTTCTGGCTTGGCAGACAAGGTATTCAAACCTCTCTGGGCCTGTTTCCTCACCTCAAAATTAGGTGACTAGACTAAATGACTTTCAAAGATCCAGCTGTAACATTCTGTAATATTAGTCAGTTGCACCCATTACTTGAAGAAAATAGAAGGTAAAAAAGAAAATAGAAGGTGAAAAGCAATCTCAGGTCAGATGTCTTAAAAATGAAATTCATAATGCTCAGCCAAGCCAACATTTCTTGATTCTATTTGAGCTTAATTTAAGTGTTAACTATAATTGTTTTGCTTCCTATTTCTTGATATAGAGGACGTTTCTGTCCTGCTTGGTAGACTGAAAAAAGCTGATATTCCTTTTTCTGATCAGACTCTCAGAAATACTGATTTGTTTCTATAGGCAAGTAAAAAGGCCATTTGGAAATGGATGAAGTTGACTGAGGTCTTCTCTGTATCACCCATTGTCTTAGGTTCCTTTTTTTTTTAATATTTTATTTATTTATTCATGAGAGACAGAAAGAGAGAGAGGCAGGGACACAGGCAGAGGGTGAAGCAGGCTCCCTGCAGGGAGCCCAACGTGGGACTCGATCCCGGGACTCCAGGATCATGCCCTGGGTCAAAGGCAGGCACTAAACCACTGAGCCACCTAGGGATCCCCTAAGTTTTATCTTTTATTTGAACCCTCTGAAACTACAGAATATGATAAACATTATTGATAGATTTAATTTCTAAATATGAATTAAACATCAGGGAAGAAAAAGAACAAGTAAACCACAAATAACTTTAGCACATAACAGATGTCAGGATCTCAAGACCCATGAGATTATGTCCTGAGCTGAAATCACGAGTTGGACTCTCAAACAACTGAGTTGCCCAAGCACACTGACACTGGATTTTTTAGATAGAATTTTATTTTTCTGCAGGATTTCAGATAACATCCTACTATATAGCCCATTCTTGTGCAAATCCTGTTTGAAAAGTATTTCTAGAATGGATGAATCTATATCAGATACTCATCCTCAGTGGCTAATATGAAATGATTCTAAGCAAATTCCTTATGAGGATTCTAATACAATTATTGCCATTCCTTGACAAAGTGAAGTTTCTATCCCTTTCAGCTTCTGTAGTGGGAGGGCACTTCCTTTACCCAGATTTTCACAGCAGATTACCCCAAATAGAAAGGATGCTTGGCTGTTGGCTTGCAAAAAACATAGTTGTCTGCTGCAACCCCAAATCTTAAAAGAATAAAATAAATCAAGATTATATGTCATAAAAGTTAAGATTTTTTATAAAAACTGAAGGGCACAGTATTTGTCAAATTAAAATGCAAATATTGTGTGGCTCAGAAACTCCACTTAATGAAATTCTTTTTTTTTTTATTTTTGGAATTTATAAATAAATTTGCACATTAGGGAAAGCCATCTATGTAAGGAAATTAATTGGAACTTTATTTGTAAAAGCAGATGGCTTGAGAACAAGCTCAATGTCTATAGTTAGGCCTGGGTCAATTGTTTACAGTGTATCTGTATAATAGAGAACTGTTCCTCAAAAAGAATTAGGTAGATCCTTATGTATCCAAGATATGTTAAAAATATTAAGATATTTATATAGAAGAAAAAGGGCTGGAGATTACAGTGGGGATGATGTGTATCATGTGCTTATGTATATAAAAAATATCCTTGGGGGATCCCTGGGTGGCACAGCAGTTTGGCGCCTGCCTTTGGCCCCGGGGCGCGATCCTGGAGACCCGGGATCGAATCCCACGTCGGGCTCCCTGCATGGAGCCTGCTTCTCCCTCTCCCTGTGTCTCTGCCTCTCTGTCTCTCTCTGTGTGACTATCATGAATAAATAAATAAAATCTTTAAAAAAAAATATCCTTGGAATATCATTGGAAAGTAGTGATAGCTGTTTCTGGGAGAAGTGGGGACTGAGATAGGCGGGAGACTGAGGTTTTCACCCATTTCCTGTTTGTATTTTGCTCCACATGTATTATCTAAATACTCTGTGGTATTGAGTTGTATGTTTGGGGTTTTTCTTTTTTTTTTTTCTTTCTTTTTAAATGTAAACTCTACACCCAGTGTGGACTTTGAACTCCTGACTCGAGATCAAGTGTCCCATGGTCTACTGACTGAGCCAGTCAGGTGCCCCAGCGTTGCATGTTTTTAAACTAATTCATTATTTCAAAACAAAAAAAAAACACGCTCATTATCTGAATCCTTCAGTTGCTTTTCCTACTTAGCATCCTAAAAGTTTAGCCAAGTTGATACAGGCAGCTCTGTAGCAGAGTTCATCCATTCTCTTGATGGGTATTTAAGATTCCAGTTATTCCTTATTAAAGCATGCTGCAGTACATATTCTTGTGTATCTTTAATGCACGTGTGTGCATTTCTCTATGGCAATACTTTATGCCTGCAATAATACATTCTAGCTCTAGTTTTCTAGTACAGTTTTGCTACAATGCATTTTTAAATAACATGTTAACCAGTTCACAGATAGTTGCTAAATAGGGCACTGATGTCAGTATAGCTCAGAAGTCACATTGGTTCATATGTATTTTTTCCTAAAATACTAATATTTTGCACACTCAGTTATCTATAATTTTGTAATAATTAGAGGATGAGATGCCGTTAGGTCTAAACTAGAAAGCTGTGGCATGAATTTGATTGTTTTAATAGGATCACTCAAAACAATAGAAACAAATTACTGCAGTAATGTGGGCAAAAGTAAGTAAATGGAGGCTTGGACCAAACTGTGCTAGTAGGCCATAATGCAAAGTATGAAGGCCTACTTACGCTAGAGAAACACATGTTCACAAGCAGCGTTGCTTTAATAGTGAATAACTAGAAATACCCATGAATAGACTGGATAAACTATGCAGTTTGAATTAACTAAAGCTGCACGTATCAAGTTGAGTTATCAGACAAGCAGGTAGGTATGTCAAATATTAAAGATGAATACGAGTCTGGAATTCAGGACAGTTGTACAAGCTGAAATAAATTTGGCAGTCATTAGGATATAGTTGCTCCAAAGCTACAATACTGGATAAAATTACCAAGAGTGTGACTATAAGTAGAAAAGAGCTCAGAGGACTAAGACCTGGGAAACTCATTTCATTTGAGGAAAAGAGGAAGGACTAGCAAAAGAAACTGAGAAGCCGGGGATTTTGTGGAAGTGAAGTATTTTCAGGAGGAGAATACAGTCAGTTGTATCAAATGCTGCTGATAGATAATAAGGATGAGAACTTGCTTTAACAATGTGAAAGTAATTGATGGCCTTGGCAAGAATTTGAGTGGAATGGTGGAGCTGAAGCCCTGATAAGAATGCTTCGAGAAGAAACAGGAAGTGGCGCCTTGGTGGCTCAGTTGGTTAAGTGTCAGACTCTTGATTTCGCTCAGACTTGTGAGATGGAGCCCCATGTTGGGCTCCACACTGTGTGAGTCTGCTTAATTAAGATTCTCTTTCTCCTTCTCCTGTACCTCTCCTCTAAAAAAATAAAGAAAACAGGAAAAGGCAAATAGAACTTAAGACTCCCAGCACATCTGCTTAACTTGTATGCATATATTCTCACCTTTTCTCCTGCTTTTTTTTTTTAATTTACGATAGTCATACAGAGAGAGAGAGAGGCAGAGACACAGGCAGAGGGAGAAGCAGGCTCCATGCACCAGGAGCCCGACGTGGGATTCGATCCCGGGTCTCCAGGATCGCGCCCTGGGCCAAAGGCAGGCACCAAACCACTGCGCCACCCAGGGATCCTTTTTTTATTTTTTATTTATTTTTTTATTTATCTTTCCCATCTTAAAAAAAGATTCTTTCTTGACCTAATTTCCACCTTCAGTAGCTGCCCACGTTTTCTTCCCTTTACAGCCAACCTCTGAAAGAACTGTCCTGCTATATATCTCACTGTTTTTCTATTTCAGTTTCAGGTGCAGACAAGGAATAAGCAACTGGGTTTAATCTAGGTTGTGGTTAAGCCATATGACTATGATGAGATAAAAGAACAAGGGAGTTAAGATTCTCTGCAAGTGTGTAATTTAAGCTGCTTGGAGAGAAGTACTTAAGAGTGAAAGATGTGAAAAGGCAGTGGTATCAGTGGACAGAAGTTCTCTATGGAGGCTGAAGGATTATTGGAGATGAGTGACTAGAATGAGTGAGCCAGGAGAGGGTAATGGTTAGGGTTTGAGTTACTGGTAATGACAAGCTTAAGGTTATGACCAAAGTTGTAGCTGAGGCACAATAGAAGAAAAATAAATGAAAAACCTTTCAAGTTCAGCCAGTGAATTGAGAGGCCAAGAAACTAGAAGGATCATCTTCATGGATATTGAAGTCTTCAAGAACTATAACTGGACTGGTATTACAGAGACTGAGACAGGAACTAAGTTCTTAAAGGACCCAGGGGAATTGAGGGTACTAATTGGGTAGGTGCTACAGTAAGAAGTACCCAGGTGGCAGATGGCGTGGTGTGCTGACAGGTTTTTAACAGCGGGAGCAAAGGGAAGCAGCCACGAGGAGAGCGAAACCTGTTCCATTGCAGGTATCAGAGGTGTCATGGAGAAAACAGCTACCATCTCAGAGACCTGTAGAGGAAGCAGTGTCATCTATAGTCTCAAATTCTGACAAGTTTAGAGAGCCGGGTATTTTCATGAATTAATACTTATTTTTCTTAAATACAGAGTCTCATGAAACAGTAATTGAAACACAGTTTCATGGTTGGAAAACCTAGGGAGTGGTAGAGGTATCATTTTAAAGGTAACAGCCTTTATTTTGTGTTGCCATGACAGGATTCAGGCCTAGCATTGCCAGATCTTTGGGATTTTTTCGAGAATCCAGAACTGGATTTTTGTGTGAAAAAGTCTACAACACTAGCTTTTTTTATTTACTTATTTTAAAATATTGTGCAGGCCAAATAAACTGTATTTAGCCACTGTCACAATTTTATAAACTGAGGTTTTTAAAATAGAAACTAGTATTTCTAAGTTCATGAGCCAAAGTCCATGATCCTCAAACTGGCTGGCTTGTTGGGTAGCCTGCCACTGTTCAGTCCACTAGGCTGGTGTAATGGGAGTGACTATCGCAAGCTCATCACCAAGCAGCACTTAAATTACCTGACAACTTATCAATTGTTTATTACATAGATCTGATCTCACCCCATATTTTCTTTTTTTTATTATTTTTAAAAGGTTTTATTTATTTATTCATGAGAGACAGAGAGGCGGGGGGGGGGGTGGGCAGAGACACAGGCAGAGGGAGAAGCAGGCTCCATGCAGAGAGCCCGACGTGGGACTCGATCCCAGGTCTCTAAGATCAGGCCCTGGGCACTAAACCGCTGAGCCACCGGGCTGCCCTCACCCCATATTTTCTTTATTTTCAGCTCTAACCCTGATAATGGAATTACCTTTGAAGAGAAATACACTTAACCTTATAGCCAGAACTTCTAAATGAAAAGTAGCCTCATAATAATAAAATAAAGCTTCTTATGGAAGAAAACTTAGGCTCTTTAACCCTAAAAAGACAAAATAGTTAATTCTTAAATTTTAACATTATAAAATCTTAAATGTTGCTCTAAAGTCTGGAACTTTACTTTAATCATAATAATGACCAAGATTTTTTTGTATTGAAATCGAAGTCTAAAGATGGTATTTGAGCCTCAGTTGACCTCAGGGTGGCAAACCCCTCTGGACTTAGTTTCCTTATCTGTAAAATGAAGATTAAAAATACATGCCTTACCTACTACTATCTAAGGTAGCTGTTAGGATCAAATGAGAATGTGAAAAGCTTATCTCTTGACTTTGTATGGGTGCTTTGTTTTAGTTCATTAAGGAATAACTTGCTGAAAGCTGCTAAGATTGTCTATTGAAAGAAAATATTTTAGATTATATTTAAAATTTAGGAAACACCTCAAGTATGAGTGGATATATAATATACTTCCAAAAGCAACTTTCCTATTGATAGGTGACACTGCTGATGGTATCACTGTGTGAGGTATTGGCTGAAATGTACCCTCTCTAGGTCTGTAAGCATGACTGGTCATACTGGTTAAAAATCCTATTCATTCAGGCGAGATCTGATATATACTCTGTTTTTAGTCCTGCCTCCCTTCCCTCTTCACCCTGTGCTCTTTTCATCAAAATTATCACTTGAGATTTATATTTAATGAATCTTTTTTAATTTTACTTTTATTTTTTAAAAGATTTTATTTATTCATGAGAGGCAGAGACATAGGCAGAGGAAGAAACAGGCTCCCTGTGGGGAGCCTGATGTAGAGCTCGATCCCAGGACCCTGGGACTATGACCTGACCCAAAGGCAGACGCTCAACCACTGAGCCACCCAGGCATCCCATGAATCTTTTTTTAATAAAAGATTTATTTAGAGAGAGAGAGAGAAAGCTGGGGGCAGGGCAGAGGGAGAGAGAGAGAGAATCCCAAGCAGGCTTCCTGCTAAGCACAGAGCCTGATGCAGGGCTCCATCTCATGACCCTGAAATCATGATCTGAGCCAAAACCAAGAGTTGAATGCTCAACTGACTGAGCCAGGCAGGCGCCCCAGTGAGTCTTTTCTACTAGCATTTAATACACACTCAAAAGAACAAGTCTTAACTGAGAAACACAGGGTATCTCCTTTTCACAGTAATTGTTTGTTAAGTTCCAGTGATGACAATACAAGGCAGCTTCCTCCGAGGAAGCTAAACATTGATGAGTCCAGTGTAGCCAGTATGTTGAATATGAGGTGATAAGATATCACATCCAGCTTGACTGTCCTGTAACTGAGTCTGAGTCTTTTGGAATAGTTACTCCCTTTTATTAATTGCATGGTGGTTATACAGCCATGGAAGGAAAAAGCTGAACATCAAAATCATCAACAATATACCTGAAAGACAAAATAGAGTAAAATAAACAATCTACGGAAGTTCAGAATCACTCAATGATTATAATTTATGTACCTAGAGATTTGGAAAGCAATGCTTAAAAGAATTAGCTGCATCAATTCTCCATGAAATGTGGATATTTACTAATATAACATTCTCACATTTTTCTTCAACTGTGAATCCTTAAAAACATATGTACTTGATAAAACCAGAAGGATCTAAACAATGAACCGAAAGAATGAATAGATGTGGAGTTCTAGCTCTGGTGCTGTCACCGACCTGCTGAGTGAGAAACTCGGGACTTTGGTCTCCCTTTGCTCTTCTCTAGCAACACTGTCCCTCTGTGCCCCAGAGATGTTCTGGGAGAATAAAGCAACTGAAATTGCTCTTGAGTTTTCATTTGGAATGCTCAGACATTACTTTCTCCCTTCTCTTTTTTTCATCAGTTACAATATTAAGAGCTTTTAGAGCTGTATCAAGCAAAAGATGTAAAACAGAATTTCAGTCAGTGCTAAAATTATATATCTTAAATAATACATGGGGGCCCTAGGTATCTCAGGGGGTTGAGCATCCGACTGTTAATTTCAGCTCAGGTCAAGATCTCAGGTTCCTGGGATCAAGCCCTGTGTTGGGCTCCGTGCAGTCTCCTTGTGAGTCTTTCCCTCTCCTTCTGTCCCCACCCCCAAACTCCGCCCCTCCATGAATAAATAAAATCCTTTTTTAAAAAAATATGTAAAAAGAAAAGAGTCATATATTAGTAAATCTTCATTTTTGAGGTCACACCAGTTAAATCTAGCATGTGACTATGGGTTAATTTTTCAGTGGAAAATAGGGATGGAAGGGACAGCCAGAGGGCTCAAATCACTGTCTTGAAAGGGATGTCTGCAATTAGTATTTTTATCTTAACATATTTACGATTAAAATTCTGTTAGTTTAAATTCAGACTGAGTTTTTGTCACGTGCAGATCTGATATTTTTTTTACTTCTATTTGGTAACAAAGGAAACCTTAAGGTTTGACTAGCATTTGGATAGCTTTAAAAGATAAAAGTCTGGGATCCCTGGGTGGCGCAACGGTTTAGCGCCTGCCTTTGGCCCAGGGCACAATCCTGGAGACCCGGGATCGAATCCCACGTCAGGCTCCCGGTGCATGGAGCCTGCTTCTCCCTCTGCCTATGTCTCTGCCTCTCTCTCTCTCTCTCTCTCTCTCTCTCTCTCTCTCTCTCTGTGTGTGTGACTATCATAAATTTAAAAAAAAAAAGATAAAAGTCTGTCTTGCAACCAAAAGCTTTAAATGATAAAAAAAAAAAAGTCGGAAACAACCTAAATGTTAACTGATCCACAAGATTTGACATTTTCTTATGAAGTCAGAGCTAGAGAATAAGACATTACATTGAAAACGTTTTCCAAAAATGTAATTTCAGTTACATAGCAAATAGAATTAGCTAATTTTCATTTTATGAAATGTGTAAACTAGAGAATTCTATATGCATTATATTATAGTCACTTCTGTTTTGGGGAGATGGCAGATGTCATTAGAAAAATTATAATTACCACTGCTATGAAAAGTAACAAATACAAGTACAGGTTCCAAGAATAGTTTGGTTACTCCCTGCTTCGTCAAGAATGGAAAGCTATCTTGGGACGACTCTCCTCCATCTCAGTGGCATCACCTAATGTAGCTTTAACAGGGTTTTGTTTGTTTTGACACCTCATCTTTTACTTAGCTGTGTAAAGGATTCTTGTAAAAATATAATTTTTAAAAAATATTTTATTTTACTTATTTTTAAGTAGATTCCATGCTCACTGTGGAGCACAACACAGGGCTTACATTCATGACCCTAAGAACAAGACTTGAGCCGAAAGCAAGAGTTAAGACACTTAACTGACTGAGCCACCCAGGTGCCTCTTAAGATTTCATTTTTAGGGATCCCTGGGTGGCGCAGCGGTTTGGCGCCTGCCTTTGGCCCAGGGCGCGATCCTGGAGACCCGGGATCGAATCCCACGTCGGGCTCCCGGTGCATGGGGCCTGCTTCTCCCTCTGCCTGTGTCTCTGCCTCTCTCTCTCTCTCTCTGTGACTATCATAAATAAATAAATAAATATTAAAAAAAAAAAAGAACCTAAAAACTCCTTTTAAAAAAAAAAAAAAAGATTTCATTTTTAAGTAATCTCTACACCCAGTGTGGGGCTGGAACTCACAACTGCAAGATCAAGAGGCACATGCTCTACTGAGCCAACCAGGTGCCCCTAAAAATATAATTTATTTTTCCCATCCTTAATAGTCTAACCTTATTTCATTTGATGCCATTTTTCCCCAATAGAACTGTAAGTAACTTCCATGAATGACAAAATCCAATGCCAAGCTGGAATTTAATATTCTAAAAAGTGTCATTCATTCATATATATGTCCTTTATCCACATCTACTGAAGGATTACTGTATTGCTTTTCATTCCTAAATCTCTTAAAGAAGTGTAGGAACATTCTTTAAACCAAAAGCTATAAGAAATTTTAGTTAAGTCTTTTTGGGAAAAGCTAGGAAATCCTTAGGCCAACAAAGAATCTTTGTATATTTTCAACAAGCCAATTCCGGCCAAAGATAATTGCTAAAAAGTTTAATCCCAATGCCATTTTTAAAAGATTCCTTGAAAAAAAAAACATAAAAGATTCCTTGATGAGGAAGAAAAATATGTGCATGTTGGAATTTTGGGGGGTAAGTGGTTCCATAAAACGTTTTGGTAATGGCTACAATTAAATATTATCTTCCTGTTTGGACTATACTAACATGAATAAAATGTAGTCTGTTTCCCTGACCCACTATTCTCTGGTCTGTACACTTCTTAAAGGGGCAGAAATGATTGCTCCTCTTTTATCTACCGTGAAACTTTTTTTTTCCAGTATGTTCTTTCAGGAAGAAGTTATTAAGTGATTCAGGCTAGAAAACATTTATTTTTTTTAAAAGATTTTATTTATTTATTCATAAGAGACACAGAGAGAGGCAGAGACATAGGCAGAGGGAGAGGCAGGCTCCATGCAGGAGCCCGATGTGGGACTCGATCCCAGAACTCCAGGATCACGCCTGAGCCAAAGGCAGATGCTCAACTGCTTGAGCCACCCAGATGTCCCAAGAAAACTTTTTTTAAAAAGTAATCTGTAAAATTAAAAAAAAAAAAAATCTGTACACCCAACATGGGGCTCGAATTTATAACCCTGACATCAAGAGTTGCATGTTGCACTGACTGAGCCAGCCATGACTTTTTGCTTTAAGCAATGTTTTCTAGGGGTGTCTGGCTGGCCCGGTCCATACAGCATGTGACTCTTGATCTCAGGGTTGTGAGTTTGAGCCGCATGTTGGGTAGAGATTACTTTATTTATTTATTTTTTAAGATTTATTTATTTATTTACTTGTGATAGACAGAGATAGAGAACGAGAGGCAGAGACACAGGCAGAGGGAGAAGCAGGCTCCACGGCGGGAACCTGACATGGGATTTGATCCTGGGACTCCAGGATCGTGCCCTGGGCCAAAGGCAGGCGCCAAATGGCAGAGCCACCCAGGGATCCCCCTAGAGATTACTTTAAAAAAAAAAAAATCATAGGCATTTTACAGAAAATGTCATTCTGATTTTTTTTCCTTTTAAGAATTATTTTGGAGGTGTGCCTGGGTGGCTCAGCCAGTTAAGCATTGGACTCTTGACTTCAGCTCAAGTCATGATCTCAAGGTCATGAGATTGAGCCCTGCATCAGGATCCCCACTGGGCATGCAGCCTGCTTAGATTCCATCTCTCCCCCTGTCCCCCTACCCCTGCTTGCTCACATGCTCTCTCCCTAAAATAAATAATAAATAAATAAAAATTATTTTGGGAAGGCCTACCTCCATTTTAGTGTTCTTTCAAGTAATGAATGAAATTTTTTTTTTAAGTAATCTCTACATCCAGCTCATGACTCCTGAGATCAAGAGTTGCCCTCTCCTCTTACTGAGCCAGCCAGGCACTGCTGGATGAAATAATTCTTCAGTGTCATAGGCCTACTGTTAAAATTGCAGTTGGAGCACAGTATATAATGTTAATAATATATGTGGATTGCAAATATGACACCTTAAAAGAATCATTCCATATAAAAACTGTCAGTAGACCTATCCAATTAGTGACTTCATGAACTTCAATGATTAACTTCTTAAAAATTAAGAATAGAGAAAATTTAAAGAAGTTATTAGAAAACACTAGCACTCTCTAGAACTGAAAAACAGCTGCTATTAGCATTTTAAAATACAGACTTTTTCTGATATTTTTCATGTTTAGGTCCACAGATACTATTACTGAGCAAAACAGGTGCTAAATGTGAAATAAAGGCATGGAAGGTGAAGGGAAGAAGTGTGCTGGTTGTTCAAACGTATTGTGCCAATGTTCCCTTCTCTATGTACCCTAATTTTTTTTTTAAACAAAAATAACAAAAACCAAAATGCTAACTGTGGATAAAAAGGATGAACTAATAAAAGCCAGGCATCCTCTATTCTTTTAAAATTATGATTTATAATCAGGCTTAAAAGAGGTGACTGAAAAACAAGAAATGCTAATAACTTATAGAAAGAAATGCATATTATAAGAGAAGTTTTATATATCTGATTCAGATAGAAATAACAGGAATGCAATTATGGGTCATTTTAAAATTACACTTACTATAGCTATCCATTGTTTCATGAGATGCTCTTTTACAGAAAGTCAAATGACCTTAACAGTACTTTATCTGGAACTCACAAATTAAAATGAAAATTCCCTTTAGCAAGAAAGAGATTTTTTTTTTTTTGAAAGAGATATTTTTTTTAACAGAAGGAATCACTCCTCAGTTTTTTTGCCCATTTATCTGAGGGGTTCTTAAAGTGGTATCATACCTGAAACTGACTACCCTTAACTAGATAATTTTATTTTTTTGAAGATAAAAAGTTTTAAAGGATACTGCACAGATAAAGCATTACTTCAGGTATTTTCATTTTACTCATTTTATTTTTTGCACCAATTCTGGCTTTGGAAATTGACATGTTAGAATGACATTTCCTATCATTTTAAGATACCCTAGTCTTTTAATCACATTAATAAAAATATGCTTACCTAAAGAAGGAGCGAGCCAATATACTATAAAAAATCGAAGGAATGCTTCATCAAAACACGTGAAATGTAGTGAAAGTGCCAAAGCTGGATTAAATACAGCTCCTGTTAGACTTCCTCCTGTAATACATTTTAAGCAGAGTGACACCAAACCATATATTTTACATTTTCTTGCAACTGGAAATAAAGAGGTAACAAGATATGACTGCTTTGTTTTAGGTATTTAAGTATTCTTATGCTATAATCTTCCTTTGCAGAATCACCTGGCATGTTTTAGAATATAAAAATAGATTATAGATTATAAACTGCAAAGACATTAAGAGTTTGGTTTTTTTTTTAAAAAAAGATTTTATTTATTCATGAGAGAGGCAGAGACATAGGCAGAGGGAGAAGCACGCTCCCTGTGGGGAGCTGGATGCGGGACTTGATCCCAAGATCTCGGGATCACGACCTGAGCCAAAGGCAGATGCTCAACCACTGAGCCACCCAGGTGCCCCAGGACATTAAGAGTTTTAACCCAGTGCTTTTCCTATATATTATAGAATGCACACTGAAAATTAATCTGTTCTATTATTGTTCCTACAAGTTTATGAAACAGATTTGGCTGCCCATCTTAACATTCATCAATTTAAATGAATAAACAATAATAAAAATAAAATACCCCAGGATCCTCTTGACCATAAGTATACCTTTGTGTTGAAAACAAAAGTAAAATGGACCAGTGTTATCATTGGCTCCATTTTTACTTGTCAGCAGAGCTCTAAGAAGGGACTGTGAATGGCATGTGAATTATGTCTCACGTGACTACAAAATTTTTTAAATAAGAAAAGTGATGTGTATAGTTGTGAAAGATAGGTACAAATTCTAACTGTTGATTGCTTTTCAGGGTTCATGGTCCCGCTCTGCACCCAGGTTCTCTCTCTGACGTGGATGGAGCCTAGGAGTTTAGTTCTGGCCAGACAAGCAAGAAAGGAAAAGCAGAGGAGGCTGGACTTCCTTTCCAGTGGTACCAGACTGTGGCTCAGCTTTTCAGAACACACCCTAAGATTATTCCTGAGATAGTGGTATTTCTGTTGCTGCTTTCGTGTAGAAGCTTGTACACACAGATCTGCCTCTGACTCAGCCAGAGAGCTAGATCCTGAGATCTTCACAAATTTTACCTTGACACATACCACTATAGCATGCTGTCTTTGTAAAATCCAGTAAAATGGAAATTAAGCAGCCCTTTCATAGGATTTCACCAATGAGATTTCATCCTTGATAGACTAAAAACATTGAAGCTGTGTCAAGATGAAGATATTGAGCAGTGAACTAAGTTCACTCCATGGTTCAGAGTTTTTTCTAGCACACCAGCCTCACAGTATGATTCATACTCATGCCTCAGCAATTATAAATGACATCATGTCATGGGCCTTCAGAATCTCTTTTGAATAGTCAGTCTTGGAATGTTAAGCCTGCAACTGCCAAGGACCAACAGAATTGTTTGGTTGGCAGGTGGTCATTTCAGTTTAATAAAAAAATTGAGTTCCTATATGGTAGACATCATTGGCAAAAGATAAGAACTTACACAGGTCTTTAAAATACAGTGTAACATGTGCTATGATAATACAAGTGACCTTTGCTTTTTTTTTTTTTTTTTTGGCACATTTAAGTAAAAATAGACTGAACCATTGCTCTCATAATTAGTTTTCTTTGGTGTTCCCATTAGGTCTTTGCTATTTCCTTAGATCAGAGAACATGATCTGTCACACTTATGACCATACTAAAATTCAAGCTATTTCACTTGCCTTATCTTCTAATCCTCACATCTCCAATAGTGCTGAGTATAACGTGGAAGCTGCCATTCCCACCAAAAGGCAGAGTTCTCCTCTCTTGAACATGGACTGGCTTTGCAACTTGCATTGACAAACAGAATGCAGCAGGAATGATGCTATGGCAGTTCCGAATATAAGTGACACTGAGTGAATTCTAGTTTCAGGTCTCAAAACACCCATGAGTTTCCACTTTTTGCTCTCTTGGAACAGTGCCCTGACCACATAAAGAAGCTGGTCTAGACTGCTAGAGGATAAGAGGCCACATGGGGAGAACTGAGGCATCTTAGATGACAGCTGCCACCAATTGTTGAACACATGAGTGCAGCTACATTGGCTTTTCCAACCCCCCCCCCCAACTCTCCAGCTATTATGGTCACATAGCAATTTCCCTTCTGATCCACAGAATCATGAAAAATAATAAATTATTATTTTAAGCAATAGTTTTAGCTAATACACAGGATGCCTGGGTGGCTCAGACAGATAAGTGTCTGCCTTGGGCTCAGGACATGATCGCAGGATCCTGGAATCAGGCCCTGTGTGGGGCATCTCTGCTCAGCAAGGAGTCTGGTTTTCCTTCTGTCATTCCCCCTGCTCATGTACTCTTTCTCTCTTGGTCTCGCTCTCAAACAAGATCTTTAAAAAAAATAGCTGATACAGAAATTCATATCAGGAGTGGGTTCTGTGTCAAACGCCCAAGGGGTTCATGAGTGGTGATGGTTAAGCGTCTGAATCTTGGTTTTGTCTCAGGTCATGACATCCGGGTCCTGAGATCAAGCCTCATGTCAGGCTCTGCACTCAGCATGGAGACTACTTGGGATTCTCTCTCCCTCTCCCCCTCCCGCTAATGTTTTTTTTCTCTCTCTCGCAAATAAATAAATCTTAAAAAAAAAAAAAAACTCAAAACATGACTTTGGCCTGTTTGTGGGATGTTTAACAGCATCCTTGGTCCTTACTACTAGATGCCAGCACATCTGTCTTCCCCACCATTGTAACAACCAAAAATATCTCCAGACATTGCTGAATGTCTCCTGGGGCAGGGTGGGGGTGGGGTTCCTTTTGAAAACCACTGTTGTAGAGAACTACTGATATGTGTATACAAGTAAACATATGTAGTGTTGTTTATAATGCAAAGAACTGGGGAAAACCCAAGTATCCATTCATAAGATCGCTAAATAAACAAGCTTATTAATTTGGAATAACATTCAGCATTTTGAAATAATGAGAGAAATAAAGAGTTACTAATTGACATTGGTAGGTCTCCCAAGATAGCACTGAACAACTACCATTACCAAGAAAAGCAAATTGCAAAAAGTAAGGTATGATATCTTTTATGTTAACATGAACATACTTAAACAATAGTTTCTATAGGATCTGTAAGACTTATGTATAATAAATCACATAAAGAGTTTGAAGTACATACATGCATGTGCAGAGGACTACCCTGGTGGGAAGACTAGACAGGAGAGAGGACAGGCATGGAAGATGGCAGTCAAAAGGCACTTTTAGTCTCATTGGCATTGTTTCAATTTTTAACAAAGAGAATACATTCATGCATTGTGTAATTAAACATTAATTATTTAAAAATCACCCATCAGGCATAGGACTAACAAAATATCTTTGAAAAATGTTATTTGTTGACATCTGAAGGGGAGAAGACATAATAATATATGTCTAAGAAGAGCTACCAATGGGAAGACAGAGCTGGCTGATTGTCAAGAGTCTTACAGGAGAGCACAAACTGGATGACATTACCACATTTAAAGACTGTGTCAAAGTCCAAGTGCTAAATCTGGTAATTCTAGATGCTAATGTTTCTCAATACTCCTACAGGGAATCAAATTTTCTGTGACAGAATGACAGTAGTAAAATCATAAGACTTGGGTATAAGCCAGAATGTCTGGAGCTAGCCCTTTCCAGTGAGCAGAATATTTGTGCCAGGTACTGTGCTAAGAACTTGAAATACATTATTCTATTCCTCATAATGGTCTTAAGAGTAGATAGTATTCTCCATTTTAAAGATGAGGAAATGAGGCCTAAATTAAGTATCTCTTTTAAGGGTACAATAAAACTCCAAACTTGTACACTTAACCCACTTAATTAATAAATACATGTTTTGGACCTTTGAAGCTATTTTTTTTCATTTGTAAATGAGTATTTCATATAGTTATTACACTAAAAGCAAATATATATAAAGGACTTAGTTCCCTTCTCCTTTGACAAATAAACTTACCTATATTCTTCGGGATTTAGGATACCAAAAATGAATAATGAAGTAAAAATGTTAGTTTCTTCAGATAATTTATTATGCTTATTTTGAAAGCCCTTAGACATAAAATATAAAATATCCAGATATATATTATTTTTTCTACATGATTTTTATAAGTGAATAGGAGTATTTGATGTGTAACAGGTGACACAATGCTAAGCAAGACCTGGTTATATGTTATAATGAACAAAACAATTTTAGTTTCTGTATTCATAAAGCTTACTGTCTGGCAGAAGAAGACATCAGAAAACAAGTGTATAATTAAATATTCTACAAAGGAAATGAACAAGGGCAGTAATAACGACAACTTAGATGTATAAAAAATAACAGACTTTTTTCAATGTCTAATTACTGTTGATCCTTGAACAACATGGGTTTGAAATGCACAGGTCCACTTATATGCAGGTTTTTTTTATATATATATAAATACAATGCAGGGATCCCTGGGTGGCGCAGCGGTTTAGTGCCTGCCTTTGGCCCAGGGCGCGATCCTGGAGACCCAGGATCGAATCCCACGTCGGGCTCCCGGTGCATGGAGCCTGCTTCTCCATCTGCCTGTGTCTCTGCCTCTCTCTCTCTCTCTGTCTCTCTGTGACTATCGTAAATAAATTTAAAAAAAATTAAAATAAATAAATAAATACAATGCAGTACTGTAAATGTATTTTCTCATGATTTTAACATTGTTCCCTCTACTTTATTGTACAAATACAGTATATAATACATACAACATGCCAAATATGTGTAAATCAACCATTAACGGTAAGGCCTCCAGTCAACAGCAGACAATTAAGTTTGGGGGGAAGCAAAAGTCATACATGGATTTTTGACTGTGTAGGAGCTCAGTGCCCCCTAACCCTTGCATGGTTCAAGGGTCAACTGTAATTAAGAATGAATGCAGGGGCCCCTGGGTGGTGCAGTTGGTGGAACGTCTGATTCCAGGTTTAGGCTCAGGTTGTGCTCTCAGGGTCCTGTGATGGAGCCCTGCATCAGCTCCATGCTCACCGCAGAGTCTGCTAAAGTTTCTCTCGAACTCCCTCTGCCCCTCCCTGCTCTCTCTCTAAAATAAATTTTAAAAATGAATGCAGTTCTCTCTTACCCTGTTCATTGAACCAAATTCTCCCAAATCCTAAATTAGGGAAGGTTTGCTTGAATTCTGCATTAATAGTTTTATAGCTCTAACGTGTTAATAAATCACATCCTAGGATGCAACCATGTCTAGTCAGTACCAACAGTACCTTAGAAGTTAAAAAAAGACATACCAAAGTAACTTGTAATGAGACTTGACTTATCTGAGTCTTCTTCCCCTGCCTTTCCTTCCCTATCCATTCTTAAATCCTAACAACAAAAGCCTCTTCTCTCTCTGATATGACAGAAACTTGACCATTCCCAAGACAGTTCATTTATCTGGAAGAACTCTTGACTAAAGTTATGACATATCCACAGAAAATAATGCGGATATGGCTTAATGTTGCATTACCCAAAATACGTTCTCTTCTGCTACATGCTCCTAGACAAAAGGATTCCATACGTTTGAAAAACTGTTCCACATCCTCCTTTTGGAGTTTCACAATATGTAGCAGCATAGTAAATAAAGGCTCTGTACTGTCTTAACATTAGAAAATCTGTTTAATCCAGCGTTTGCCAAATTTACTTGGCAACAGAATCCTTTTGTAACTTGAAATTGTTTGAAATTATGATAAAGTATATATAAAACATGTCATCTTAACCATTTTTCACTGTATATTCAGTGACATTAATTACATCCACAATATTCAACTATCACCACAATTTCCAAAACTTTTCCATCACTCCAAAGAGAAACTCTGTATTCTGCACCCATTAAAGATTAAGTCCCTGGACTCCTCCCTACCTCCTAGTCCCTTGGTAACATCTATTCTACTTTCTGACTCTATGAATTTGCCCATTCTGGATTTTTTTAAAAATTTTATTTATTAATGAGAGACAGAGAGAGAGGGAGAGAGAGAAAGTGCGGCAGAGATACAGGCAGAGGGAGAAGCAGGCTCCATGCAGGGAGCCCGACATGGGACTCCAACCCAGGTCTCCAGGATCAGGCCCTGGGCCGAAGGCGGCGCTAAACCGCTGAGCCACCCGGGCTGCCCATTCTGGATTTTTTTATATAAGTGAAGTCCTGCAACATTTGTTTGTCCCTTTGTGTCTGGCAAGTTCCATCCATGCATGCTGTGGTGTTATCAGAACTTAATTCCCTTTCATGGCTGAATAATGTTCAATTGTATGTACATAGTATTGTTACTTTTGAAGATCGCAGTGTAAAAAAGCTGATAATGAAATGAGATTAAGCCTTAGTGTCAGTTTGAACCATGATTCCAGCACATTCTAGCTGTGTGATATTGGACAAGTCCTTTCACGTTTGTGAGCCTCACTTTATTTAAAATGGGAATAATGTATTCATTAGTGAGTTTTTCTAAGGATTAACTAAGATAACTCATATAAATTTCCTATGTGCTTATTAGTATATTACCCAATGAATATTCTTTTTTTTCCCAATGAATATTCTTAGCTCCTTTACATTGGCAGAAAAGGAAGATCATAATAGATTATCAATATCTGTAACAGTAGCAATCCACGATTATCTATTAGGTTCTGCCATGGAAACAGTCTCGGCGCTGTCCAATACTGCACCCACTAGCCATGTGTGGCTACTGACCACTTGAAATGTGGCTGAGGAACCGGATATTTTAGTTAATTTAAATGTAAATAACTAGGGCAGCCCAGGGGAGCTCAGTGGTTTAGCACCTGCCTTCAGCCCAGGGCCTGATCCTGGGAACCCAGGATGGAGTCCCGCATCGGGCTCCCCGCATGGAGCCTGCTTCTCCCTCTACCTGTGTCTCTGCCTCTCTCTGTGTGTGTCTCTCATGAATAAATAAATAAAATCTTAAAAAACAATAGTCTTTTAAAAAAATAAATAAATGTAAATAACCACATGTAGGAAGTGGCTTCCAAATGGGCCAGCTCAAGTTGGGACAAGAGCAGTGGTTCTCAACTCTGGTTTCATACTGAGAGTACCTGGAAAACTTTAAAATACACCATTAATTATAAAAGTACAGAGCATAACTTTTTTGCAAGGGATGATTATCTTCATAAATGGGGGCATGTTTCTGCTTCAGCCCAAACCTAAAACTTTAATAAATAAGTAACTATACACCAACCCCTCAAATATACATAAATCCTTCCCTCTCTCCTATACCCTTTATTTCCATCTGTGTATACACAAAGAATAGTACTAGATCTAATGGATGGAAGATGGATAGAAAAATCTTTCATTTTTATCCTGGGAAGTCAAGCAAATGTTTAGAAGCCCTTACTCTGAGGTTTGCTTCTACTCATAGTCTCACTTTCAGTGGGTAGAAGATAGACCATTACAACTAATTTCCTTTTATTAGATACCTGTCTCTAAAACATTGTATATAGTCCCAATGAAGCTACTTTGTTGCAATCATTTAAAATGACACATTCCATCATTAAACTTGTTTTTTGGATTTCCTAGTCCCCTTTAGGATATCTAGGGTATCCACTGCATCTGAGATCTTGTCAAAGTAAACAAATGGTTTGCATGAAATCAACAGATTTCTTGAGTTCCTTGTTTTTTAAAAAGCATCTTTAATTTCAAGCAAGTTTTAATTTTAAAACACATCTTTTGTGATAGGCCACTTAAACGTTCATTTATAACTCAAGATTAATTAAGAAATGACTTTAAGAAATTCTGTAGAAAAAGAACTAAGACAAAACTACAGAATATCTACTCCTTATTCTTACTATTAACCAATCAAATAGTCTATGCCTTAAATTGGAAGGCACTTTTTAAACTCATGATCATTTTTCATTCAGAGTGTCAGGTTGGCATAAAGAAAGAGGTAGTTGATAAGTTATCTTTCCTCTCTACCATTAAAACAATCCCTTTGCAGGATATTTGAACTCTTGGCAATATTTCAGTATTTCTCAGTTTCAGCACAGAAATGGCTCCTGTTGCTGGGTATTCAAAAAAAAGCACTCAATAGAGAGGATCCATATGTCTGCACAACTGGTAAAGAACAGGCTGCAAAATGGTTAGAAAAATGGGGATACCAATATAGACATCGCAGAAGTATATGGGTTTCAAATGTTTCTTGGTAAAGAACTTAGCGCCTCAAGTCACAGAGGCTCCGGACATGCCAAATGTTTTGTGGGAATAACAAACCTGCATAGACCAAAAAGGTGATGAGTGCTGACAGCAGGTGGATACGAAGCTTGGTTCGGATCTCCTGGAAGTGCAACAGAGCGCTGTGGAAAATAAAGGAGCAGATGGCTTCTGTGATGACCGCTTTGGGCAAGTCGACTTGAATAGGATTTCTGCAAGCGAAGGTCCTCTCGTTGAGGTGGTACTTGGTCAGCCCCAGGCCCCAAAGGGCGCTTATGCAGTATCTGCTGCACAGGGCACCAATCAGCTGAGCCAACAGCCTAATCGCACCGGTCTCGGGGGACATTCCCCCCAGCAACATCTGCATCATCACGCCGCACGGGTTGGTAGAGGTGCCCACCAGAGTCAGGCCGTGCACCAGCGAAAAGAAGTAGATTAGCGTTAGCGGCCAGGTGGGGTGCACGGGTTCCTGCTCGCTCAGCAGTTGCAGCTCATGGGTGCAGCAGCAGAGCTGGAAAGTGGCCAGAAACTCCAAGACGAAGGTGTGGGCCATCATGAACCTGTGCAGCCGCTGCCGGGTGACCACGCGGGCCAACCCCATCAACAGCACGAGCGACAGCATCAGCCCCAGCGAGGTGCAGGTGTCCTGCACCTGGGGCCAGAGGCCCCACAGCGCGGTCATGGCTCGCTCTTGGCCAGACTAGGTTGCCTGCTGGGCTCTAGAAGCAGCAGCTTCGGGGCGGGAGTCCCAAGTCCTAAGTCCGCAGCCCCGCCCCTGTCCTCACGCCCCGGGGGCGGACCGACTCGAGGCCAGCCGGCGGCCCCCGGGCGTCAAGCTGGAGGACTCCTCCCCGCTCCCCGGCCCGGAGCGAGGCTGTTGGGACCAGAGCCGAGAAGGAGACGGGGGGAAGGGCGCAAGGGAAGCTCTGCCAGGGGCCGGCTGGAAGGCCAACGGTCAGCAGGAGTCGTGGAGTCGGACGCGCACATGTCCCCGCCGCCTCCCTCAGGGACTGGAAACCCGCGCGGGTCTCACCGGGCGCGGAGGGGGGGCCGCGCGCCCGGGCCACTGCGCCTGCGCACGAGGACCCGTGAGCCCTTGCGAGCGGCTCGACCGGGGCTCCCAGGACGCCGGCCCCTGCGCCTGACGGCGGGGCTCGCGTCCGCTGCTCTGGGACCGCTGCTCTGAGGGGGACACCTTGAAGGTTTCTTCTCCCCGGCTCCTAATGAAACGGTAAAACCGTCCGGCTGGAAACATTCCTAGAGATGATCTCGCCGACCACCACGTTTTTATTAACGGGACGATTGAGAAGACGGGAGGCGACGGAGGTAGGACTCCGGAGTCGAACGAGCCGGGGTTTGACCCGTGCGAGCAAGGGCGCGCGACCGGGTGTCCTCGAGCCTTTGTTTTCTTCGTCTGCCTCCTAGAGTTGGTCGTACGCCCCCCCTCACCGATCTGTTTCAAAAGGCATGAGGGATAAATAATAAATAATGAATAAATAAATAAATAAATAAATAAATAAATAAATAAATAAATAAATAAATAAATAAATAAATAATAAAAGGCATGAGGACACTAGCGCCGGGAGGCGAGCACGGAGAAAGCGTTCGGTGAGTACGACTGTGTCTGACGGTGCCGGGGCCCGCGGCTCTTGCCCCCGCCGCCCACTCCCCGGCAGGCTGCGGCGCCCCCTGTGGGCGAGCTGGGAGGGAGCGTCAGGGATTCCTCCGACGCTGCCTGGTTTGGGGCTAAGGCCGTAGACACCAAGGTTGAGGGGGCGGGGGGGGGGGTGTCAGATGCCTCCGCCCTCTCCCTCCTCGGTTTTGCCTCCACCGGCTTGTGTGGACCAAGCGTTCACCTTTCCTAGGGCTGGAGAGAAGGGAGAGAGAACAAGAATGAGAGGAATAATTAGGCCGAGCTTCAAGTGATAGGGAGCTTTGGGCAGGCGTTCTTGTTGATTCTCTTCAGCTTCCCTCCCCAGTCTCAATTGTCCTTTTGTTAACTAATGAAAGTTCTCTTTATGACTCCAGTTTTTGTAGTGCCAGTAGACATCTTCTGAATTAAAAAAATAAACACTTGCACTAAGCTCACAGACTACGTAGAGAAATGAAGAAGACCTTTCCTCTTTCCAGTATTGGTGCCTGGCCAGAAATTTAGTGTATATTAAGGCTATTTTTTAGTGACTGTTGTCGAAAGAAGTTGCTTCTAAATTAATCCTGTGAGTATAAATAACCCTTTCATTGCTCCCCTTTACTAAAAGTCGCTTGAAGATTAATGTGAATATATTTAATTTACTGCTCTGCTGATAATTCACTTTCACTAGCAAGAGCCATGTAGAAAACTTAGTCTTTTGGACTTTAATTAGAAATTTTATTTTATTGGGACGCCTGGATGGCTCAGTGGTTGAGCGTCTGCATTTGGCTCAGGGCGTGATCAGAGGGTCTCGGATTGAGTTCCACCTCGGGATCCCTGCAGGGAGCCTGCTTCTCCCTCTGCCTGTGTCTCTGCCTCTCTCTCTGTGCCTCTCATGAATAAATAAAATCCTTTTTTTTTTTTAATTTTTATTTATTTACGATAGTCACACAGAGAGAGAGAGAGAGAGAGAGAGGCAGAGACACAGGTAGAGGGAGAAGCAGGCTCCATGCACCAGGAGCCCGATGTGGGATTCCATCCCGGGTCTCCAGGATCCCGCCCTGAGCCAAAGGCAGGCGCTAAACCGCTGCGCCACCCAGGGATCCCGAATAAATAAAATCTTAAAAAAAAATTTTTTTTTACAGTATGATTAAAGATTTTAATATTATATGTTATTAAAAAGACTTTAGACATTGTTTCAATTAGAGAACAAGAGCAGAGTAAACTCAATTAATTACTTGGAGTATTTCACATCACATAAATCAGTCTCTATTTTCAGAAACAAGAAATCATTAATCTCCTAATTCCTTCAGCAAAAATGATTGTTGATATAGTTGACAGTGCTGCCTGCATCTTGCAAACCCATATATCAAAATGCTAATTCCCAAGACCAGTATCTTCATGAGAAAGAATGACTCTTACACAGGTTGAGAAGAGTATGGCTTCCCCTGCTATTTTGGCCCAAATTTAACCACTTTTCTTCTAGGCATTATACAATTCTGGCCAAGAAAAAATACAAACTTACTTTAAAGTGACCAAGTAGTTACTAAAGGAAAATTCTTCTTTACAGAGGAAATTCAGTTGATAAGGACAGAAGAATGATGGATTTTTTTTTAAAGATTTTATTTATTTATTCATGAGAGACAGAAGGCAGAGACATAGGCAGAGGGAGAAGCAGGCTCCTGGCAGGGAGCCTGATGTGGCACTCGATCCTGGAACTCTGGGATCATGCCCTGATCCAAAGGCAGATGCTCAACTGCTGAGCCACCTGGGTGTCCCAGAAGAATGTTGGATTTAGAAAATCACCAATTTGCAACCCCTAATGAATTTAAATAGAACTACACAATTCATGGATATAAAAAAGTTGAAGACTATTGGTAAATTTAAGATTGGTCACTAACCAATCTTAACATGATTCAAAGTGGAACAATTATACATTATATGCCTCAAGTACAGAGCAACATTTAGGCAAATTTTGCCTAAGGAAAAAAAAATAAAAGAAGCTAAGTCTAATTGAACTTTTTTTTTTTTTTTAAGATTTACTTGAGACAGAGAGAGAGCCTGCCCATGAATAGGGGGAGGGGCAGAGGGAAAAGCAGATTCCCCACTGAACAGGGAGCCTGATACAGAGCTTGGTCCCAGGGCCCTGGGATCCTGACCTGAGCCAAAGCAGATGCTTAAACCTACTGAGCCACTCAGGTGCCCCTCTAATCAAACATTTAAATATAACTATCAGTTTACAGGAAATGCAGGAAATAGAGGAACAAGTTAAATGACACCATGTAGAAACTATCAGTCAAATTCACATCGTGGGACATTCCACAGAACAAATGATTTGACTTTCCAAGTAATTAATAACTGTCAGCTAGTAGGGCCTAGAAGGTAGTACACCCCAGTAACAATGAGCACTCCAAGTGTCCAGATCTTGGTTACTAATTACATTATCTAATAAAAGGAACCAGGGTTCCTTAGAGAAATGGCTGATTCAAGGACTGGGGCAGGAAACATCGAGGATAAGCCTGGAGCATCTTACTATGCCAGAAAGCAAAAGTCCTAAAACTAAAAAAAATAATAAAAATTAAAAGATGGAGGTATGTCAGGAGGGACATAAGAGACAATGGAAAGCTGGCCAAAATTAGACAATTTGAACAAGATAAAGTAGTTTTGAATTATAATTCAAATTCTAAGGTAAACATCCGTGAAGCTGTACTTTTATACATAAATAATTGAATAAGGATGTTGAGCACAGTTCTTTGTTAAGTGTAGACAATGCATATTGACTTCCTTTCAAAGAGAATAGTATAGAGACGTGTGGGGGGGAGATGAAAAAGAAGTTTTGCAGTGGAAAAACGTGACAAACACTACCTTAGCTAGACAAAGTATCAACAGTGATGTCATGTTGACAGTTGTACTTTGATAGGGTGTAGTGAGAATGACACTTCTGTGGTTTTTCCTTTCCAAAATGCATAACCCCAATACAATCATGAGAAAAACATCAGAGAAATCCTAACTGAGGGACACTCTACAAATGTCCCTACTAATACTCAAAATTGCTAAAGTCATAAGAGAAGTGTGAGAACCTCATAGCCTAGAAGAGCCCAAGGAGATTGGATGACTAAATGTAATATAGTGTCTTGGAGTACCTGGCTGGCTCAGTTGGAGAAGCATGTGACTTGATCTCAAGGTTGTGAGTTAAGAGATAACTTAAATTTAAAAAATAATAAATGTGGGCAGCCTGGGTGGCTCAGCAGTTTAGGGCTGCCTTCAGCCCAGGGTCTGCCTGATCCTGGAGACCTGGGATCGAGTCCCGCGTCGGGCTCCCTGCATGGAGCCTGCTTCTCCCTCTGCCTGTGTCTCTCCCTCTCTCTCTGTGTCTCTCATGAATAAATAAATAAAATCTTTTAAAAGAATAAATAAATAAAAATAATAAATAATAAATATAATGTAGTGTCTTGGATGGGATCTTTGGATAACAAAGGACATTAGGTAAAAATTAAGGAAACCTGAATTAAATAGTAGCATAATAATATTGGTTCATTAATTATGACATGTTACATTATAATGTAAGATGTTAATAATAGAGAAAACTGTGGGGCATGTAGGAACTCTGTACTGTGCAACTTTTCTGTAAATCTATAACTTTTTGTTAATCTCTAGCTGAAATTTTAAAATTACTAAAAATAAAATATCACAGACACAGACTAGGAGTTGGTATTAATTCTTTTTTTTTTTTTTTTTTTAGGAGAATTGAAACACCAGGTGGTTTTAGCAGAGTCTGAGTTGGCACTGATGATTCTGGTTATGAAAATCAAAACCATTAAGGAAGAAAAGTCTTAGCACTGGACCTCCATAGCTGTGGAGCAGGCACTTGGGGGCACCAGCCACTGCTGAATGCTTTGGGCAGCTATCAGAAGCCCATCTGCCCTTTAAGCCTCAACAGAACAGAGGGACTTCTACACAGAGGTGGAGCTGGAGCAGGCAGGAAGAAAATGGTGGTGAAGACAACTATTCTGCAGGTGCACTTGGAGGCTTCACAAAACCATTTGGGGAGAGATAAAGAAGTTTGACTTTTCTGCAGAATGAATGGATGCAGAGCCAAAGAATTACTGTTTTGCAACTGTTGTTGCAGCTCTTTATTTACTGTAAAGGATGATGTTGCCTAACAAACAGGTCTACAAAAGAAGAGCATTTATTGCTAAGGTATCGCTGAAGCTCTTTAAAATCTGTTAAAGATAAAATGTAAAATATAAAAATATATAAAATATGTACACATACTCCAAATACAATTTAATAACCTGAGTCAAAAAGTGTATTTTTTAATATAAAGGTTAAAATTAAGTTAGTACATAGATGCCAGAAGTCCCTTTCATTATAACTAATCTGTTAGAAATATAAACCTCAATCAACTGGCTTTTCAACATCCTTTTGTCTTTAATGATGAGACTGTGGTTTGAATGTATGTCTAAGTTTCCGGTGTTGAATTTAACTGGACAGACTTGCTTCTTACCAGGATTAGCAACTCTTTGAATTCTAGTTATGTAGCTACCTCTTTCTGAATTTCACTACACCTACCTTTCTTACTAAACCCTTTTTGGTCCTCAACTGCCTATTTAATATTTACTCAATTTTTCTTATAGTGTGTATTATGACTAGCTCTCACATGTTAAAAATGAGATTTGAATTTTTTAGTAGGATAATTTCTCCTTCATCTCTAAATGTGAACGAAATCTAGCTGGACCTATCAAGATAGACCCTAACTCCAGAACAAGACTTGTTCAATGAAGATTATGGACAGAATAACTGATAGGCTTTTATTACCATGGAGTCTTCATTCATTCAACAAATGCTTATTGAGAATTAGTTAGGTGCCAGACAGTACGCTAGGCACTGTAACATAGCAATGAATAAATACTATCTCTTTACTCTTGGTGTTTAAGCTGTTAAGAAAGACAGAATAATATAAAACAATGTTTAAGTATTATGCATATTAAGATAGGAGAATATTGAACTCTTATCCCTAAAACTATGGTTTTTAATCTTTTAGATGAAAAAAAAAAAAGAAAAAAAATCTTTTAGATGGAGGAAGTCATAGATTCCTTGAATTTGATCAATGTCCTAGACCTTTGCCCCAGAAAACAAACATACCCCAAAAATCTTGCCAATAATTTCAAGTTGTTCATGGGTCTTTTGAAACCTTTCCATGAGCTCTGGGTTTAGAATTCCTACCCTAAATGATAAACACCAAAATCAGATGAGACCAGAAGCAGAAATCCTAAGATATTTGAAGGGGAAGATAAGACTAAATGCTGAGGAGTAAGAGCAGCAAGAATGAAAAATAAGTTTCCACAGCTTATCTTACATGTGTTATCTGCAGATAACATAAATAATGTTTCCTGGAACAATCCACTACAGAGGACTCAATGCCTCACCAAGTGAACATTGCCCTGCCACACAAGAACACCTTAGGAAGCTACCAACTCCTTCACCTTTGCTCTTGTGCAACATGATGGGTGGTAAGATGTGCTACAGATTAAAACTAAGCAGGTTAAAGGGGATGAACAAATACTAGGGTTTTGTGTGTTTGTGGTACTTCACATAGTTCTACAGAATGTTAAGGAAGCTTTGTCTGATAAGGTGATATTAGAAAAAATTATAGAAGTAAGAGCAAATCATGTGGTTTTCTGGGGGAACCTTTCAGACAAAGGGAGCAGCAAAAGGGGGGAGACCAGAGGGCAGAGCAGAATGATGAATGTGGAAAAGTAGGAAATGGGGTGAGAGAGGGAGTTCCAGTGGGTGTGTCAGGTCCCCAGGGTAGGGATGAAAGGATCAGGGATAAGGGATAAGGAGAATATGATGGGACCAGACTCTGACAGAGTCATAGAATGAATGCTGTTAGTAATGGAAAAATTGCTCAGTGGGACGTCTGGGTGGCTTAGTGGTTGAGTGTCTGCCTTTGGCTCAGGGTGTGATCCTGGGATCCCAGGATCAAGTCCCACATCGGGCTCCCTGCATGGTGCTTGCTTCGGCAGCACATATACTAAAAACGGGCTCCCTGCATGGAGCCTGCTTCTCCCTCTGCCTGTGTCTCTGCCTCTCTCTCTCTCTGTGTCTCTCATGAATAAATAAAATCTAAAAAAAAAATAAAGAAAAAAAAATTGCTCAGTGAAACCCAGCAGGTGTTTTTGCATTGCCATACCCACAACAGCACAAATGCTGAAGTGGAGAAGTGGTTAACCATATTGGGTAGTGTAGAGAGACTTACCAAGCCTTGTGTTATCAAGGTAAGTGTCCTTGTATGTAAATGTGGACACCCACTCTGTGTGTGTGTGTGTGTGTGTGTGTGTGTGTGTGTGTGTGTGGGAGTGCGGATACAGTAGAGTCAGGAAACTGAAAGAACAATGAGGAAAATACTTAAGGAAGTGGGTAGAAAACAGAAGGCTAGGGTATCTTCAGAAATAGAGGAAAGAAAAGGATCAGGAAAGAAAGGAAGGGAGTAGGAACCAATACTTGTCAAATGCCCACAGTTTGTCAGGATCCTTACGTATATGTCTTAACTTGGTTTTAAAGCAACAGAGTGAGATGAGTGTAAATTGACAAGGTGATACATTGCTAGTAAAAAAGCAGGAGGGGTAACTATTATTTTGTCTTCAGTGATTACCTATTTTCTTATGTTGCTGTATTGATTCACTCCTAATGTTATATTTAGAGAAACAAAATGATGTTACTGTTAGGAAGACAACAACAGTGCAAAGTGGCAGGCACAACTTAAAAAAAAAAGTAGCAGGCACAGTTAGAATTTTGCTTATTGGGCTCTCACTGTTGGATTACACATCTGGCTTTACAAAAAATGCCACAAGATGGCAGCATCCTACTTGTTGGTTTGAGGACCACTTCTGTTCCATGCAAAACTGTTCAGTATAAAAATATTGAATAAAAAGTAATGTATTGGGGGCAGCCCCGGTGGTGCAGCGGTTTAGCGCCGCCTGCAGCCCAGGGTGTGATCCTGGAGATCCGGGATCGAGTCCCACGTCAGGCTCCCGGCATGGAGCCTGCTGCTCCCTCTGCCTGTGTCTCTGCCTCTGTCTCTCTCTCTCTCTGTGTCTCTCATGAATAAATAAATAAAATCTTTTTAAAAAAAAAGTAATGGTTATAGTCCACATTTAGAAACTGACCCATCTTGCCCACAGATACTTGTTGAGAAATAGAGTAAAAGCCCCTAAGTTCACAGAAGTACATCCATTCATAAGCATTAGGATCTTGACCTTTGCCTCCAAGTAAGCAGGATGTAAGAAATGACTGATTTCTAATCTGTGTGGGAGTTATGGGAAATGGAATGTAGTGGTCAAGCTTCCTTTTGAGACATCAGAGAGAGATGTGTTAAAATTGTAGCTTTGATACTTAACTACATGGTATTAAGCAAATAAAAATCTTTCTAAACTTATTTCTTCATCTTTAAAATATCTACCCCTTTAAGTTTATTGTGAATATTAAACAGCACGCAAAAAAGCTCTTGGTGAATGCTTGACACTTAGCACTTAATATGTACTATCCATTGAGAAAATTGATGTGATTTGATGTTGGGTTTTTGAGCAAATGGCTAAGAAAGAATTCTTGAGACAGTTGGTGCAAAAAGATGGTTTGATTATAGCATGGGGACGAGACTCTCGGGCAGAAAGAGTTGCACCTACAAAGTATGAAGGGTGACTGATTATATATTTTAAGTTTTGTGGAGGGTGGGGAGGGAGAGGTGTAGGTTTCTAAGGAATTTTTGTATGCTGAAAACAGGGTCTTACAGGATTTTGAAGATTTAGCTATTGTCAAGGTAAGATTAGTCTTTAATGAAACATAGTGATTAAGGCATTAAGGCAGCCTTGAACTCCTTGAGGAATATCACATTCTGCGTGTCTCAGGTGTCAGTGGACTGCATGCTGTCAGGAGATTTAATTTAAACTGCATTTTTCTTGTCTTTGTTCTCCTCATCAGCCATTATATATTAATTTTATAATAATTTTATGTAATAATTATTTATTATTGTTTTTCTAATGTTAGAACTACAAGATACTTTAAAAATTATGTAGTCTTGGGATCCCTGGGTGGCGCAGCGGTTTGGCGCCTGCCTTTGGCCCAGGGCATGATCCTGGAGACCCGGGATCAAATCCCACGTCGGGCTCCCGGTGCATGGAGCCTGCTTCTCCCTCTGCCTGTGTCTCTGCCTCTCTCTCTCTCTCTCTCTCTGTGTGTGTGTGACTATCATAAATAAATAAAAAATTAAAAAAAAATTATGTAGTCTTGAAACCACCATAGAAACATAAAGATGGATGGAAATTTTTTTTTAATTTTTATTTATTTATGATAGTCACAGAGAGAGAGAGAGAGAGAGAGAGAGAGAGAGAGAGGCAGAGACATAGGCAGGCTCCATGCACTGGGAGCCCGACATGGGATTCGATCCAGGGTCTCCAGGATCGTGCCCTGGGCCAAAGGCAGGCGCCAAACCGCTGCGCCACCCAGGGATCCCAAGATGGATGGAAATTAAGATGAAAACTTGAGTACTTTAGCAAGGCTTGACTTAAAATAGAACAAATTTTTCTCTTCCTCATTCTTGAAGCCTCCTCCTTACCTTCCCTTGTTTTTCTGTAAAATCCTTTGTTCCAGGAACTTGATGTTGATATTGACATCTCACTGACCTCACACTTGTACACTTAGTAACAAGACTGGGATGGCCAGTGTCATTGCTGGTCATGAGACCACCTTGAAGACATGACAGCACAGTTGGCAGCACACATGCTAAATCCCTATTGAAACTGCCCAGAGCCTGTATTTTCCTATTACACCCCTCCGGCCTTTACCCTGGGGTGGGCTTGCAGTCTTGAAGGCATTAGCCTGCTGCAGCCTCCTTTACCTGGTAAAGTAAGAAACTGTCTTCTTTCTTTATTCTCAAACTCTATCTTTGCATTACATATTTTGGCTCCAGAGCACCTGGGTTGGCTTTGACAACAGTCTAATGGTTCTCAACCTTGGATGCATGTTGGAATCACCTGGGGAGCTTTAAAAAATCTGTGGGGGATCCCTGGGTGGCTCAGCAGTTGAGCATCTGCCTTCGGCCCAGGGCGTGATTCTAGAGTCCCGGGATGGAGTCCTGGATCGGGCTTCTACGTGGAGCCTGCTTCTTCCTCTGCCTGTGTCTCTGCCTCTCTCTCTGTATCTCTCATGAATAAATAAATAAAATCCTTAAAAAAAAATCTGTGTGTAAGCTGGTGGCATCACATTTCCTGATTTCAAAATATATTTCAAAGCTACAGTAGTTAAAACAATATGGTATTGGCATAAAGACAGACATAGACCAATAGAACAGAATAAAGACCCAGAAACAAACTC